CCACCAGCCTGTTCCCATGGGTAACCCTTACGCTGATCCTGACCCTCCCGATCTCCAATTTAATCTTGTGTCTCGGCGGGCAGCAAACCTGGATGATGCACACAACCGGCGCAAAGCATCCATCACCGCAACCAAGAATCCCCGACCCAGCGTGCAACACAATCGCAACTCGCAACATCCGGCCTCATTATCATATCTCTTGATACCCAATTTAATCGACAGGCCCATCTGAGATCGATTCCATCGACGTCGCTCCCCCAGTTCCATGCGAGTCAGCTTGTGCAAGTCAGAAAGACGCCATGGTGCCCATCCACCAACCGAGCCACCAAGGTTGATTTCATTTCCAGGACTGATTACGAAAGAGTGTAACGGAATCGAGGTTTCAGTTGACCCAATATGGCGGGGCTTCTACCTTGGCAGCTAGCGAAGTCTGTTGTCGGAGCCTTTTATCGTCCACTAAGGAAACAAGTCGGCCCTTTGAAGATATGACTGGTGCTTTGCTAGAGGTGCATCTGCCCCTGACAGACACCCGGCCGGAGTGGCTTTACTCATTCGCCATACCTCGCACGCACAATCACGCAGCTGGCCGCTGCCGCCACCACCACCACCACCAGCAGGCCCGGGTTCCCCGCCACTTGCACCCACGTGGCGAAGGTCCAGCACAACGGCACCAGCGTTCAGTACTGCCACAATTGCGTCCTTACAAACCGCCTTGGTCTCTTCGGGCCTATTGACGGCCTAAACGAGGCCGTTGAAACGGCGCGTTGCTCCCTTTCGGGCCTCTGCAGCAAGCCACTTTGACGGCGATGGGTGTCTCCAGCTCCCACTCGTCGACTCGTACCACTGGATCGTCAGACTCCTTGTTTCGCTTCGATGCGAGGCGCAAGTGAGCCCCCGATTAGCGACTGAAATGTGCACGCTTTGTTCAACTCCGCCGCAGGTACCTTTCCTTGTTAATTCCGGATCCGAAGCTGCGTACGAATAAGTGTCTTGCTCAGCTTGGACAGAGCCTGCGGCAGTCACCAGGAAGGCATCGCATTTCCGCAGCCACAAACAAATCTAGTTGGGCTACCGCACTTTATCGTCCAAGCTAGCTAACTCTCGAGTCATCTCCTGGAACAGAACTAATGGTAGACCAGTGATACTAATCTTCTGGCAACCTTTCCTCGAAAATGTTCAGGACGTAAGTAGCTGGAGGACGACATTGTGCTCCACCTCCTTTTTCCCTTGGAAGCTCATTTCGGCTTCTGGATTATTCGAGACGTTTTTCTTTCCACCCACACGAGGGGCCGTCGACAACCACAGCCCCACTTCCCACGTTGACTTGAAGCAATTTGGAAGATGTGGGCAGAGTTGCAGTGTCCTGGTCCAGAACAGAAAAGCAGGCATGGATGCCCCCTTTCCTCGCGCGGGACACCAAAAAAGACCCATTTCATATTGTGTCTGATCCCCTGCCCGAAATGGATCCTGAGCATCTTGACATCCTTGCATGTGGTAGATGATAATCCAGCAGGGATCTGCCATATTGTACCTGGTAGGTACTGCCGTTGTGGCAAACATGATGTCACTTTGCTCTCCATAGCCCGACCACATTCTTTGCAACAAAAAAGTATCAACATTGTTACAGACCGACAGCAGACGCAACTTTGGGCTTGTCGACCAGTGGAAATGGTGATGGATGTCATCAAGAAGCTCTAGTCTTCGTCACGACTGAGGGAGGGCAGCTTGGACGCCATGTGTGTCGGCGATGAAGGGTTTCCCTTGAATCAATCAGACGTCGACTGCCTAGCTCCTTGGCGACACGCCAATGGTAGGAAGCCAGTCTGCAGACGCCACAGATCGTAACAACACCCCGGCCCTGCTGAAGAAGAATCCGGAAACATGGATATCCCATAAGAGGGCGAGTGAAACCAGACTCGGTAAGCAAAAAAAAAAATCTTCGCGGTGAACGAGGGTGTCTGGGTTTCGGGGCGCGGGGCTTCGAACCCAGTGCCTTGGTTCGGGAATCGCACTACTTGAAGTAGAAAGACAACAACTTCCCATCAAGAGAAACACCGTTGCAGAGCAAGAGATGACATGATACAAAGATTCCTACAAAGCCAAAGAGGTCCTTCAGGTCACAGGGGCCGTTCACTAGTCTCCTCCGTCGGGTGCAAAGGACGAGAAAAAGCACCACACAATGCTCTAGTGCACCCATCTTCCTTCTCGGTCGACCACCAGGCCAGGAATCCGCGCCTGACGATCCATTCTCCCTCTTCCCACCCTCCCCCCCCCGAAAAATGTCCATCGCCCATCACATCAGCAGCCACCAGCCTTGGCAATGGGCCCGTGCATATCGATGTCCACCATGAAACATTTATGCATGACAAGCACAAGACCGAATTCGCGAAACTTTCGACTGCCACCAGGCTCGTTTCCCGGTCGTAATTGAACGCTCCAGCATTCACAGTTACCACAGTATTGTCCTCCCAGCGACTGACCGCCAGGCATGAGTAAATCGGCGTCGAACTCCACCACTTGTAGCAGCATCCGCTGGTGGCGTGGTCGGGGCATGTTCCGACGGGAGGCAGCCAATTTTCTTACTGGACTTGTACAGAGACCGATCCAACTTAAAAGTCCGACGTAGTCGGTAGAAACAGGGTAAACTGGCTTTGAGAGATATCTCGGAGTTTGAATCACGCGGACTTTGCCTCTGGCGCATTTCAGCAAATCCGACTTTACCTGTTCGAGTTATTTCCAAGCGCCTCTGGAAGGCCCAAACCGGTGGTTCTCGGTCAGAAAAGACACGCACCAGCCGCGACAACTCCTCTTTGTAGGAGGTATCTATAGTTGGTACGGTATGTACCGGGTACTGGTTAGTCCCATTAGATTAGCGGGTGGGAAAGCATCCCACCGGAGTCCTTCAATCAATCAAAGCCTCCACCAGTGCTAGCCTTCTCATTGCCACGTGGGCCGCAGCACCGGATCACTCTCCAAAAGAGTTTCTGGCTTCAACATTCAGAGACGGTGAATCAGGCCATTGGCAAATCGGCTTCAAGGAATGGCAAATGTCAAAAACTTGGTTCCGGTGGCGTTAGACAATTCGCAAAGCAAGATGCTTGTTGCTCCCGGAATTGGGAACCGTGCTAAAGGCAGAAGGAGGTCAGCAAGATAGTATCAACAAGCCTGACCAAGCCAAATTTTCGGATCCAGCAGGTGGACGGAGAGGCGGTTTGGCAAGCAAAGCACGGAGTGACAGGTGTTGTGGACCGCGAAGCGAATCCTTGGCTCGCTTTGCGCTCTGATAGCGAGGAAGATCAAACAACGGATCTGAAACCCAGCAAGCCAGGGATGACAGCCATGCATTCCAATTGGCGGTCCGGTTTGAGCAACATGCAGACGGGCTACGCCGCCGGGAAAATGTTCTACTGAACGTCCATGTCCGGTTCAAAATGGGGCATGAGAAGACGGGCAAAGACGGAGATCAGAGGGGGAATTCGGTGTGCGCCAATATTTGGCACCGAGATCCATCTACGCTGGATACTTGAATCTGACCTTCAAGGATCTGGAGCCTTCAGGGCTCGATCGTCTGCTGCGTTACTGAACAAGGGCAGAGCATACAAAGAGGCAGCAAAAATGCAAGACAAGGAATGTGCCCGTCACTTTGCGACTGCCTTCCTCTTCCGCCAATGGGCCTGACCCCCCCACTCGCCTCATTTTTCACACCGACAAGAACGATTGGCTCGATCGCGAGGTCATCCTTCCTCACCGCGTCTTCTGAAATCGCCCGGCACGGCCAATATACCGAGTATTCTTGGCTCTGCTCACCATTCCTGGTGATATCCGCGGCGTGGGCAATACCTAAGTTGTCGGGGTTTGGCTGTCGAACATCAAACATGATGGCCGATCCTTTCGCATGTCGCAAAACAAACCTGTCGGGAAGGGCGGCACCCTGGCCAGACTTGCCCGCGCGCGTCCCACATCCTTTCCATCCTGCAAGCTGTTTATTTTCCTCTCTCGGCTTCCAGAGCCTGGGTTTCTCATCCTCCCCTTTTGCCCACCGTTGTTGACAAGAGGGCATGATTGTTTGCAGTTGATTCACGCCTGGTTGGTTCAAGAACTGACAGCTGTCAAAAACAAGACCACGCCCGTATCACGAGACAGGTTTGAAAGCACGTCGAGAGTTGGGAGTTTGCTACGGCCGCTTGGCATGTCGCGACACTCCCAATCGCTTGCTTCTACCCACCTGAGAGCGCCGTCGCGATCAGTCCCGATTTGATCGTCCACGCGTAAAGTCCTTTGCTTCTGCTACATTTGGCGATCGGAAGCTGGCAGGATGAAAAGAGGTGAGGCGGGCAGCACTATTCTGGACCTTGCTTCCCTCCACGCGCTCATTTCGCTAGATTGTGGCACAACTATTAGGTCGAACCTCGATCCGAAGTTTTCGATCCGAACATCAGGATGAGATGCCTGCTTCCCAACGAAACTTGGCACGTTGCGATGGTTGGCCCCGAAAAGCAAACCTTGTCCTTGCCCGTACTCCGTGTCAACGGGTTTTCCAAGGTTCGACAATGCGAGATTGACAGGTCAACCACAAATGCTGCATGGCGTTGTGCGATGCTGAGTGGGGGACTGACGGGTCACACAAAGCCACCCCATACATACCCCGGTCAACCCGTGGCGTGGAAATGTGATGTGTCACCTCTTTTCTGTCCCTTTGCTGCGTCGCCCTTGCGCGGGCTGGTCACTCCACTCCAAGAGTCTCGAAAAGAAATGCCGGATGTTGGGAAGACGGGCAAGCCATTCAGAGCTACATCAGACGACTGCAAACTACTGGGTACGTCGGCAGGCGACCGCTTCAAACAGAGTGGTGATGTAGTTCATTTTGGACTTTGAAAGCAGAAAGGCTGCTGGGACCAGCAAGGGCCAGCAAGGACCAGCGCGTGATAGTCCAGCCACAGCTGCACGGGCCACTTGTTCGAATCCAGTCCGTCATCAGTGTCACACACTCTTTGGTGCTTTCAGATTTTCCCACCCCGGTCACCGCCGTTATTCTCGGTCGACAAGATGAAGTCCTTGACCAGCTGAAGCGCGGCAATTGCAAATGCCACCATGTTGGCTTGCCTATCATTCCCCAGCCCCGTGTCCAGATCCTTGTTTAAACTGCCCTTTTCGCCCACCACAGCCAATGCGACGTACCCCCTGTGGATTTCCGCCTCGTGTCAGCTTCACATGTCCGTATCGAGGCGTGTTGGTGTGAGGCGTGTGAGGAGGATTCTGGATCCAGGAGATCACTTACGGCTGCCTGTTCGGGGTGTTCCCACTGGCGGTCGGTCCTGCTGTGCCTGACTGTTGTATCGAGAGCAGTCGAGTAAGCCAGACGTCTCGGATTCGAGGCCGTTGTGTGATCTACATGTTGAGAGTGAAGGGCGAGTACGTACCTCACCAACGCAATAAGTTCCTTGCAGTTTTTCCCTCACGTTCTTAGCCAGCCCTTCCACCAGCTCCGGGGTCGGACCGTCGTAATTGTCTATGTTCTTTTGCGTCCAGCCAGCGAAGGCAATCCTGGATTCCAAGGTGTACAGCGTCAAGCCGCCTTTGTAGATCCTGCTTGCGCCTGGGGTCGCGAGCAGCGAGGCGGAGATGAGGCCTCCAGCAGCGGTTTCTGCCACGCAGATGGATTCGCCTCGAGACTTGAGGAGGGTCGCGACATCCTCAGCGGCAGATCTAAGTTGAGGCGGAGGGAACTCTGCGGATGACATGGTGCTGCGTTGGGTGATTTTGGCGCCGTGGGCTCTGAATGACAGGGATGGATTGCAAAAGAGACGATACGGGCCGTGAGACTGTAGGAGCCTACGTGAACAAACCGAACGCATAGAGGATGGATCACGAATGATGGGATCCAAACGGGATATATCAATGCACTTGTTGGAGTTGGTTATTATCAATCATCATCAAATGCGGGGGACGATGATACTGCGAGAGTCCAGCCTCGGGAGCACAGAACGGGCGTCTCAGCATACATCAAGCATATTATGACTTCGCATCTTCGAAGCCTCAACCACAATGTTGCTCGATAAAGAATTTGGGATTTTGCGAGGTTGAGATCGACCATCCTGCTCAGTGTCTGTCATCTGACAATGTCTGTCGAGCCCATTGAGCTTTGGTATCGTCCTGACCAGCCACCTATCACTCTCTCACAATACGGAGTAGCTGCTACTATGACGGCTGCCCAACGCCGTCCTCAATCTCCTTCCTCTGCTCGGTTTCCTCTCGATGTGCATTTCACTTCTGCGAGTATCTACCGCATCCACTCATCATCCTTCTTCTAGCCAACTGCGTTGAAAAGGGTTGCAACCCTGGTACCTTTTTGCCGTCTACACGACCTCTGTCTCGACTCGATTGCCTGTCACTCCACTCCCTTTCAACATCATGACCATCTGAGCATGCCTGATGGCAACACGAACTGCTCGAATGCCCAAGGCTTGCCTCTTGTGCTCGAAAAGCCTGTTACCGGCCTCTATAGTCGTGTACCTTTCTATCCAAATGAAACGACATTTTCCTTCGTTTAGACTCTCTCCTGGACGTTCACTCTTACCACGGGACGCAGCTACTCGGGCATTCACGAGAAGTTCGGGCTCGCCTTTGCCGCCTCTACATTTCCCTCCTCAACCCTTCACAAATTATTGGCTCCGTGTCCCTCTTGAGAGCTGAGACAGTCATCCGATCTATGTTTTGAGGCCCTGATGAACCCCGACAGAGCCCTACCGACTCCGAAGCCTTCACGCAAGACATCTACAACTTTGTGATGACAGTCAAGACCCCTTGCCCGGCCCTCATGCGATGTTTTGTGCTCTCTTCGACCACAGGAACATGGATTTGAGATGTTGAGAACACAGAGAGTCGGCAAGCAAACAGCTACGAAGTCCAGGAACTGATTCGAACTTTGTTGGCAGTACGTACAGTACACCATTTGTTGCATTCTCGACTGAGCGAATACAGCTTGTTGCCTCCCGTTCATGTGCGAACATCCTTTCTCCGCCTCTTAGGGAATGCTTGCCTGCAAAACCAAGATGATAGTCACACGGTCGTGACACCAAAAATGACATCAGCCAGTGTGCTCCTTCATTCTTCAATTGTTCTGCCAAAGCCAATCTTGCGTTGTCGTTTACTTCATCAGACGCTGGAAAACAAATGGGTCCTGTCAGTCATTAGACCAAGCTGTGTTGAATGGCAGTTCTACGCAGGTAGAGGGAAGGTCCAAATTTATCAATCCGGCTCTCAGAGTTCTTTTCGGATGCTACGTTGTCCAAGCACTCTCGAAGCTGAGGTTCGTGGTTTCAACATTCCGTACTTGATCTATTTCGATCTTCTTCCTAGAGCCAAACCAGGAGGACGCTGCTTGCTTTCCCCATCTTCTTCATGCTTTTGACTGACTGTTTTTCAGAATTCATGACTTCGTTTCTCTAGCCCCATTGAGACATTTGATAGTCTTTACCAAGACCCCCGGCACTTCTATCGCTTACCCCGTCCTTCCTATCTTATCCAACAAGCTTTCTGGATCGCCAAAGCTCGGTAGCATTGAAGAGGAGGAACGTACTGGATTGTAAAACAGTACCTGGAATCTACTGTCACACCGTCAATATTTCAGTCAAGAAAGAGAACAAGGAACTTGGCAACGTGGTCAAAAAATAAGTCGTAAAGCACGACTGTACGAAGCACTTTATCGAGGCCACTCCAGGCGGGGATATGGGATTGACGTACGCGGAATATAACTTGAAGGAGCAGGTGCCTCGACGAAGGAAGTGTCCAGGCATTCTTTCCCGGAAGAATGATTGGCAATTTCTTCCTTTCCTTTCGTCGAAATGCGACTCTACGACGGACGACAGGTTCACAGTCTCATCCACCGAGCCTTAGATCCTAGACGTCTTTCATCGGATATCTTTTGCTTCGCAGGTCAAGCAAGCTAACGCTGAATATATCTCGCTTGGACAGCGGACTATGCTTCAATTCGAGAGTCATTCGCGAGAGTTCTGCAATATCAGGTATACTTAGGATAAGAATGTTAGCGAGTTAGTCACCACGCCTAATCTTAAGCATATCTGGGCCTTTTGGGTAACCTGGAGGTTCCATCGTGTAGTCAATTTCAATTCATATAGGCTGATAGAGAGGAAATGGGCGTTGCCAATACACATCTGCAGCTGGTTGACGCACATCTAAATAGAGGTGAGACCACTGCCACCAACATGGTATACTTGTACCTCTAACCACTTATACTTGAGCTGTTCCAGGCGCAATGTAGACGTTTTACTTGCTGGGCCCTACGCTCTGCAATAGCTGACGAGCCTCTGTCCCTTGAAGCAAAAGGGATTGGTTCGATGTCAATGAGACTCTGTGGTCAAAGACTATATGACTGCCTTGGCGCTAGGGAAAGAGACATAGGCTGGGTTCAGTCTCGCCCCTTTTCTTATCTTCCTAACCCTTGACCTCGACGCGCTGCTCTGCAGCTTTACCCTGCAGCTCGATCCAGCGCTCATTCCCATTTCCCTCCTCTTCATCCAGGTCGTGCGCGGCTTCGGCCTTCTTCATGCCCGCAACGAACTCGCTCTTGGAGAATAAGAAGTCGACCTGCTCAAGCGTCTTGCCGCCCGTCTCGGGACACAGAAAGAAGACAAATGCCACGGCCATGATGTTGCCGCTGAGCACCCACGGCCAGAATTTCCAGCCCACATTGGTCAGGCCGATGGGGCCGGCGAAAACAGTGATGAATGTCATGAGCCACTCGCCGAACCCCGTGAACGCGCCGCCAATGTGTCAGTACTCGAGCGGCGCGATCTCGGAGCAGTACAACCACACGCAGCCCTGCCAGGCATAGCCGAACACGAAGAGAAAGGCGAAGATGATGCCGATCCCTGCCCATTGAACTGATTGTGTGGGGGAAACAGCTTGGAGGACGGTGAAAATAAGCATCAGGACCGACATAACACAAGCCCCGTAGAGAAGAACCGAGCGACGTCCGACTCTTTCGATAGTAAAGTAGAGTGGGACACAGCCGAGTGCAAAGCAGATGTTGAGGATGCCCGCAAGCAAGCTAACGAGGGAGGGGCGGGCGCCAACCCGGCTGAGGATCACAGAGCCTGTTTATTTCCCCCCAGTTAGCTTGGAAACACGTTACTTATGAGAATGGCACAGTACTCCAATAGGCAAGCAATGAAGAGCCCATCCATTCCCTAATCATTGGGAGCCAAAAGCAGATACACAGCCGTCGGATGATTTTCATGGGTGTGCGGTCGATGATGCCGCTGGTCGTAAATGCCTTCCAATGTAAACTTGACTTTGCCTCCTCTTCTGCTTCGATGGCGATTAGGATCTCCCGCTTGATCGTCTGGACTTGTTCTGAATCGACGGGGGCATCATTCAGCCGTTCCAATGCGTCGTCGCCCTCCGCGTGACGGTTCTTTGCATAGTAGTATCGGGGTGTGTCGGGGAGGAAGAGCATGCACACTCCCGCAGTAAGCGCGAAGATACATTGAAAGGTAATGGGGACTCTCCAGCTCCATTGGCCGTTGGACTTGATACAACCGTAGTCAATCCAGTACGCAATCGGGACGCCGCTAATCAGCACTGCGGAACGTTGTTGGCATAGATTGCGTGGTCGACGTCTGCAAATGATCTCGATGGCTTCGAGATCTAGGAAGTTTCTCTCGACAGAGGCGGGACTCACTTATGGCGTTGAACGCATTCGCAGGGCCACGGTCTCCTATCTCAACTCCAGTCTCCGCAAGGTAGGTGGGCACAGCACTGGAAATGCAGCCGATGGCAAAGCCCGTTATGATTCGACCAACGGTTAGTTGTGCCACAGAGTTGGCGGTGGCTTGAATGATGGAACCGACGATGGCGGCGGCATTTCCCAAAAGAATGGTCCCCCTCCGGCCAATCTTGAAGGCAAAGGTGGCCACGATCAGGCAGGTGATACACGCCGACAAGGAGTAAGATCTGGAAATCCACGGTATGACCCATTCTCCCGTGGGATTGCCAATTGCATCCAGGAAGGGCTTGTGCAAAACCACACCACCGAGCACACCAGCATCGTACCCATACATCATGAAGGAAGTTCCGCATATGAACTTCATCAGCCAGTAGAGGCTTCGGCCTCGGAGGTTGATAAGGACTCCCATCTTTGCGGGTGCAAAAGCATGCACGAAGAAGCAGATTCCGTCAGAAGATGCAGGGCTTGTCTAACAGAAGTTGGCGGCAGTCTTTGATCGTACCCAAATGCAAAGGGTGGTCCAGATTGCCAATCTTTGGAGTATTATTATACTTCAAGTCTGAGCTGTCTCAATCCACCAGAGTCAACAAGGCCCACAATGATGGAGGCTCTCTCCGCAAAGTCGATGGAATTTGGCCGATCTGTTGAAGAACCCGAGGGTTATCCGCCTTCAATAACATCTGGATAGTCAGGATGTCGATGTGATTGGGCATCAGACATTGTTCCAGGTTGGAGAAACATCCTTGCTTCCCTGCTTGTCGGCGGGGATGGTGTCAGGGCTTTTTGACAGTGGAGCCACCGAATGCGAAATGTTCAATAGCTTCTCGATAACAGTATGCATAGCGGCACTCGGAGCCTCGCCAATTTTGTGTAGATGATGGACAAGGCTAGGGAGCGTAGCGGGCCGGGTGCTTCTGAAAAAGACATTAACCTCCATGAGGTCTTCCAGCCAGCCAGTCACCATTTCGACAGGGGCACGGCGTAGCCCTGAGCCCTTCGGCATAGACCGAGGTTTGGCGTTTTGAAGATATCGCAGAAGATGAGAATTGCAGTATTCATTGCAGTCGAAGTAAATTGCCCAATTTTGAACCCCGCACAGTGGACAAGTGCGTGCGGAGGAGCTTTTCGCAGACTTGATCGGCCTTGAGTCAGTCGACCTTGACTAAGTCCCATTCCAAAGCCGGCTCGCTCAAAGACATCGAAACGGAGAGGTACCCGACCGGATTGTTAAATAGCAAGCATGGCATCCGAAGAAAAGGACCAGATTCGACAGCTGGTCTGGCCACGATTGCGAGAGGTCGCCATTCCCGACTCGCGCTTTCACTATGATTTCTCAAGCTTCATAGCAGATTTCCAGGGCTCCGACTCCGCAACTAAGGGGTTGGTATCATTGCGCTGTTATGCTGATGCCCGGGTTGTCTTCATCACTCCGGACAATTGTTTGGAAGGACTTCGCCTGCGAGCACTAGAAGATGGCAAAAAGGTATTGGTGACGACCTACGCCATCAGACGCGGATTTTGGCTGCTAGATCCGGCAGTCATTGTAACGCCAGAAGCGAGGAAACTTGCTTGTCTCTTGGATGCCATGGAAAGACCTGGTCTAGGAAGGCACTTGAGTCTGGCAGAAATCCAGCAGCTTGATCTTCGAGTGGACTTGATGGTGACAGGTACCGGAGCCATCAATCATCGGGGTATCCGATTCGGGAAAGGACATGGATTTTTTGACCTCGAATGGGGGATCTTGACCACCATCAAGGCCGTCAGCTTTTCTGTTCCTTGCGTTGCCCTCGTGCATGACTGCCAGGTGTTGGAGGAGGAGCTGAAACCCGAAATCTTCGACACGGTGTGCGACTACATTGTCACACCAACCACGACCATTGAGATTGCAAATCCGGGAGCCATATTGGAGAAGCCAACGTGTGGAATTTTGTGGGATCAGTTGCGACCAGGAATGCTGGAAGACATCCCTCCTCTGCAGGAGCTGCGACGGCTTCAAGGGAGAGATTGACCTTGACTGCCACGCCTGGGATTTTATCCCAAGTGGTTCGACACTCTCGGATAAGGTGGCATGGTGCTACTGATTAGCGGTTGATTAGAATCGACTTCCGTCAACGTACATTGCAACTGAGCTGTTCAGTGCAGAGGGAGCACAACCATTGTGTCGGATGGCTGCTTTTGCACCGGAATGGATTTTAGTGGAATCCTATTTGGACCTTTCCGATAGACCTAAATCTCTGCTTGGTAACCTTCTGCTTTCAAATGTTGTACACAAGGAAGACCATGTATGGACAACGGGCGAGTACTCTTGATAATAGACCACCTAAAACCGTGGCCAGTATGGGTTGGGGATCACAGTAGTTGATTTTTTGTTGATCTGACTTGCCGTCCTTAGTGCTTGGTCTATCCGGATAGACGAGTTGTCTCAGTTGGCTGATGGCTCTGGTGCATCTAGAGCGAGGTGACCCCCCCCCTTTGAGACCTTAGTCAGATATCTCATTTCGCTGCAAGCCACATTCTCCTGGGCTACGATGGACCAATAGATTCGTATCAATTGCCTCTTTCCAGATCGGGGAATTTGCAATGGCCACTGCAAAGACTCGACAATGATTGGGATGGTTTGCTAGCGGCGTCCACGAGGAGTGTGATGCCTGGGAAGACGCAGGCACAGGATGCGTAATAGTGGAATATTCCACCGAAATCCTTTTCTGGATGCAATGATTGTTTGGTCGGTCCAATGCCGGCTGCGCTACAGCACCTTCCATAGCATCGTTCTGGTTGGACATTTTGCTATTCTTGACAAAGGGAGCAAATGCAGCTTGATTAGCAAAGATCTGATTATTCAACTGTATTGTCTTGGAACCATCCAGACAGACAATGCAAGACCGCAAGCTTGGGCCTTTGGGATCCAAGGATGGTATAAAGAGGGCAGGTGGGTTGATGTCTCACGGAGTCCACGCAGTGCAAAAATCCTGATCATTCTCTCAAATCATCCTTAAGACAGAGAGAAAGCGCCCTCTTTCGAAACAATTAACCATGGGTATTGACTTCACAGTCTTCAAGGGGTCTAAGTCTGGGGGGATCGTCGAGGCCAAGGATCACCGTGATGTAGGCCCGACACAAGCTCTGGTCGCGCTGTCGCACTGTGGTGTCTGTGGTACTGATTCTCATTACCGACATGTTGATCAGGGATTGGGTCATGAAGGTGTTGGTGTTATCAGGGAGATTGGAAGTCTGGTTGAGAAGCTATCAGATCTGAGGGTCGGTGATCGTGTTGGGATGGGATGGCTTCAAAGAACGTGTGGCTATTGTAAATTTTGCTTGACTGATGAGTGACCCATCATCTAACGAGCGGCCAGTCGCCTGTGAGCTTCGCAATGAAACCTCCCAGTACTAGTCGTCTTCAGCTAAGCCGAAACTCGGAATTTAATTTCAACTCCAGGAAGGCATTTTAAGTGTCTGAACAACGAACAATTTGGGACCGCCAACTTGGACCAAGGTTGCTTTGGGACAGGTGTTGCTTGGGATGTCAGCACGCTCTTCAAGATTCCGGACGAGATTTCCTCCGAGTCAGCCGGGCCATTGATGTGCGGTGGTGCTAGTAAGTATAATAACCCTGCTGACTTTAGCCATTCATCTCTGTGCGAACGCTATACTAAGGAATGTGCTGGTCAGCCGTCTGGGGGCCCCTATATAAGCATGGATTCAAAGCAGGTGATCGCATTGGAATCATAGGTGTTGGTGGGCTCGGACACCTGGCTATTCAATTTGCGTCGAAAATGGGTAGGGAGGCTGTTGTCTTCTCTGGAACTGAGTTCAAGAAGGAAGAAGCGTTCCAGTTTGGAGCAAAAGAGTTCTATGCCACCAAGGGAGTCACAAAATTCGAAGGAATCGAGCCAGTCGACTGCTTGCTAATCACGACCTCGGTGCTACCTGATCTCTCACTGTAAGTACAACACTGGCCATCCCAGAGATTCGAAAAGAATGCTTACGCTGCAAAGATATCTACCCATATTGGCGCCGTTTGCGAAAATCTTCCCACTCACCATCAGCATGGATAATATTCCAGTCCCTGCTTTGCCGCTCGTAATATACGGTTATAAGATAATTGGTTCCGGGGGCGCTCATCCACAATCCGTGAAGGCAATGATGAGATTCGCTACGGAACACTCGGTCAAACCGGTCATCGAGAAGTTTCCCATGACACAGAAAGGCGTCACAGATGCCATGAAGAAGCTAGACGAGGGGAGCGTAAGATACCGTGGAGTACTTGTGGTGTAAGGAGATGGATCCAAGGATAAAACCACATGAGCTATGTTCGGTGGATGTCTTGATGTATTTGCCTCGTATTCCATTCGAGAGTGAAATTGAAAGGGGCGACTTGGACGCGACGCGCTCGCGTTGGACCTGGCAAGCGGGCCTGCCGAGCTGCGTCTTGGTTCCCACCCCTCGAGCCAGTTTGAGCGTCCTGCCCGGCTAATTCCTCTTTTGTCTTCTCACAACTTGAGAGGTGAAGGTTCTCCCGGAATTCAAACTAGACACAAGGGATAAATCTCCGCAAACCTTTGCACCTGTATCCATCATGCGATGCCCGCTCCGAAGCCATGGTTGGAAGAACTAACACTGAGCAAGCTACATCGACTCGCAACAGCACTGGGCACGTCATGTTCAGGAACGAAGCTTGCACGTATAGAAGCCATTCATCACGCAACCTCCAACACTGTGAGAGATGGAGACAACAGGACCAACTTGTCAAATTTGAGTCTTCTGAGCATCGACATGGGCATTAGGAATCTGGCTTTTGCACATCTCACAGCTGCGGTTGAGGAGGTCGTTCGACCGCTTACACATGTACGCTACAGCAGGCCAACGCTGCAGGCATGGCGAAGAATAGCAGTGGCAGAGTTTTTGAACGCCACAAGCAGCTCAGCACTTGAACGTTCGAAGGACACTGCAGTCGGACTGGCTGGAGCCACCAAAGAATCATTCGAACCTATTGACTACGCCAGGCACGCATACAATCTCGTCAAATATATGTTACAGACTTATCAACCAAACTATATCTTGATTGAAAGACAAAGATTCCGTTCAGGTGGCCAATCGGCGGTTCAGGAATGGACTCTCAGAGTCGGAGTCTTTGAAGGCATGCTGTATGCCAGTCTGCGGACATTGGTCGAGGAACACAAACTGCAGCTAGGCGTAGAGCCAATGCAGCCTTCCCGCGTCAATCGGTATTGGCTTGAAGGACACCAGGGCCTGCTGGCCTCGAAGGACAAAAGGCTAGTCGGCCGCGATGCGAAGAAGGCCAAAATTGACCTCGTTGGAAATATGCTCGGAGGTAAAAGCTCGACAATCTGTATTGGAGGGGACGTTCAGCCGGAGGCAGCCGATTTTGTGACACGTTGGAACAAGGTTTCTAAGGGCGAGCGAGCTCTTGCAACGAACATGTCAAAGCTAGATGACCTTGCCGATTCGCTTTTGCAGGGAGTGGCATGGATCCATTGGCAAAACAACCGAAGACGGGTCGAAGTCCTCGGGCGAGACGCAGTTGATATGGGATCTGGAACCTTGCGGTGAAACTCATCCGGCCGGCTTGGTAAATGACGACATTATTTACTTGGGTGCCGGGCTCAGTCTCTGCTACTTGAACATGATGCGGTGACACTGACATGGTGGCCATCATCTGTCTCGGAAGCCACGCTGTGGACCTTTGCTGGACCATGTATCTCTGACCCGGTTACTATCATCTTTGTTGTCTCATGGTTGCCTCAAAGGAGTCAATGCCATTATCTGGAAGGCCAATTAATACTGCCTCGCCACATAGGAAGACCAGGCAGCTGTCCGAGAGAGCTGAATTTGGATCAGATTGCCAATCCTGAGTTCGCTCTATACCTATTGACCTGCCAAGCTATGTATTTCAGATCGAGAGAAGCCGCATGACATGTGGATGATGGCGCCGGATTATTGGCCATTCAGGCAATTGACGCGCTTCGCATGGTCAATGGACCGGCAGAGGCGTGTAAAAAGTTGCAAGTCCGTATGCCTGTACGATTCGGATGGAACTGGGAACAAAGCAGATAGCTGTGGACGCCCGTGGACTGGAATAGACAGAGCTGACGGCTGAGAGCAAGATTGTAACTCTTGCACACGGAAAGATCCAAATGGTCGGTTCAAGACCAAAGAAGAGACGGATATCTACATTGGACGCTGTTTCAAGAGATATTGGAAAGTCGCACCCGGGTTTGACGAGGGAAGCTGCGAGGTCCCGTCAAGGCAGCGGCGTAGAATGGGAAGGGGCGACCACCACAAAAGTAGAGAACCGACTGTCCATATATTTGACATACGTTCCTGACTCTCCTTTGATCACACCAGCCCAGCCAACCTCCCTTCTCTGCAAGTTTGCCCAAGTTCTAGTTGCGTCTCAGTTGCATCTCGGTCAATCCGTTTCTCTCCGGAGTGACCAAATCGTCAATTATGCTGCCCATTCTCCATCTCATAGCCATCTCTCTCGCCCGCGCGGCTACCTTTGCCTCGCCTCATCCACAAGCAAGCACCACGCCCTGTGTTGAGACGGACACTAGTACTACCGCGAGCGACACCGTCATCACTTTGTCCAGCACTCTGACCGCAACCGTCACCGCATCCCGTTCAACCACTCCGGTCTCAAGTTCTTCCACCGTTGGCCCACAGACCTCTCCAACCTCGTGGCTCACCGTCATGGCTTCGCGAGTTGGCTCGCCAATCCACCTCCTGCCTATGAACGCTGCCGGCTATCGTTTCTACCTTGGAGGAGACACCGTGTCATACTGTCCAACTGACGTCGAAGAGACTGGAGATTGTCCAGCTGGAAACCAGACTGTGCTCTCTCCTTGTGCGATGGTGGGAGAACTCAGCCGATATTGTAAAGCTTCACTGACATAAGGCAGGGCGCTCTTGTTCCCGGTGGACAACATTTATATGTGACCCCTAACGGCGAGGTCGGCTACACTCAAGCGCATTCGACTTTCATGCCAGAAGGATCAGTTCAGTGTCCTTTCACCTACTCGAAGGCCCCAGGGGCCACAATTGGACGATTGGGTTTGAGGGCATTCGGAGCATCGGGTTTGATTGCATGTCCTACATACGGAGGGCCCTGGCAAGTCTTCGCAAACCTGGTAAGTCGTTCTCGTTGAGGACAGAGTTCGTATTTGCAGGGGGAACTAGCATTATTAGCCGTTAGCCTTGGTGCAAACTAATAGGCGGTTGCAGAAAAATATGACGGCCCCTAGAGGGAATGCGTCACAGTGCCTTGGATTCGATCCTTTGGCTCTCAATACTGCCGACATTGGGGTATGGCAATACACCTGAGTATGATGGAGAGACGACCGAAGAAGAGGGTGCAGAGAGACTAGTGGAGCTCGCGAATCTCTTCGCGATTCGGAATAGATCGGGGCTTCGCTCAGGGCCACGGATGATTCCGCGCCACTTGTTAGAACTGCGGGACAAAACACCAGGCACTAGGCACCCAGACGAACCTCGGCACTTCTGAGGCTCTAGTGGGATGAAGGTGGCGGCCGTGGTTCGCCGGATCACATGCTCGTGCTTGTCTGCTCTGATCCTGAGAGAGTGAGAAGAGCTGGGGACTGTGTAGCGGACATCCTGTCACCATCAATAACATGATGTTTAAAGTTCTTGGAAAATTGCAAAGGATCTTTCGGCTGTGAGGGCGACAGAGACAGCCGGGGCAAAGGGAAGAAAAGGCCAGAAGGGTGACGCCGTTATTACCCCACACAGGCGATACTTTTGTCGTCGACTGATTGTTTGTAACCAGTGGCTGATCTCATCCACATGCCCCGGCTCTGATGGGCTTTGTGGGCTCCTCTGGCCTCGTCGGAACCCACTGGAACTTCCATGATTGGGCAGCATGGCGAGGGACCTCACAACGGGCACATCTCCTCCCGGACAAGTCGTCGACGACTGGCCTCTAACGGTTTCGGGCATTGTGCTGCTCTGACGTATACTATTATATCAACCTCCTCAGCTCCCCTTGCCTCGGTGCTCGCCACTCATCACCTCAATTCCCCTTCTTGCTTTCATTCTCCTCTCTAGATCCTACACACCAGCCAAAATGGCCAGTATCGAAAGCATTAATGAGGGAGTTGCCATCAATGGCCCCGTCAAGGACTCGTATCGCAAGATCCTTACCCCCGAGGCCACGGCTTTCCTCGCCCTCCTCCACCGAACCTTCAATGGCACCCGCAAAGCTCTGCTCCAAAGACGAGTGATTCGACAACAGGAGCTCGACAAGGGCAACCTCCCTGATTTCCTCCCAGAAACCAAGCACATTCGCGACAATGACGCCTGGAAAGGTGCTCCTCCTGCTCCCGGTCTCATCGACCGCCGGGTCGAGATCACCGGACCAACGGATCGGAAAATGGTCGTCAATGCTCTGAACAGCAATGTGTGGACTTATATGGCCGACTTTGAAGGTAAGAGATTTCAAGAACCCTACAGAAAGTCGCAGCTGCTGAGTGGCTTTGCCTGCATCAGACGCCCAAGCTCCCACCTGGGATAACCAGGTTTCCGGCCAGGTGAACCTCTACGATGCAATCCGCAGGCAGATTGATTTCAAACAAGGGGAGAAAGAGTATAAGCTCCGTACAGACCGGTCGGTTACGCTGATCGCGAGACCAAGGGGCTGGCATTTGGACGAGAAGCATTTCACTGTCGACGGCGAGCCTATCTCTGGCTCGCTGTTCGACTTTGGCCTGTACTTCTTCCACAATGCCTTCGAACTGGTCAAGCGAGGCACTGGCCCATACTACTACCTCCCTAAAATGGAGTCTCATCTCGAAGCGAGACTCTGGAACGATGTCTTCAACCTGGCTCAGGACTACATCGGCATGCGGCGAGGCACAATCCGGGGCACAGTTCTCATCGAGACAATTACCGCCGCCTTTGAAATGGATGAGATCATCTACGAGCTCCGCGACCACTCGGCTGGTCTGAACTGCGGCCGCTGGGACTACATCTTCTCCGTCATAAAGAAATTCCGTCAGAACCCTAACTTCGTCCTCCCTGACCGATCCGCTGTCACCATGACCGTGCCCTTCATGGACGCCTATGTCCGTCTGCTCATCAAGACCTGCCATCGCCGTGGCGTGCACGCCATGGGTGGCATGGCCGCTCAGATCCCCATCAAGGACAATCCCGAGGCTAATGACAAGGCTATGGAGAATGTCCGACAAGACAAACTCCGTGAAGTCCGGGCTGGTCACGATGGCACCTGGGTTGCTCACCCTGCCCTGGCATCCATTGCCTCCGATGTGTTCAACAAGTACATGCCCACCCCCAACCAGCTCTACAAGCGCCGCGAAGACGTCTATGTCACAAAGAACGACCTGTTGAACATGAACATGCCGGGAACCGTGACCGAGGATGGCATCAGAAAGAACCTCAACATTGGTCTCGGATACATGGAAGGTTGGCTTCGCGGCGTTGGCTGTGTGCCCATCAACTACCTTATGGAAGACGCTGCTACGGCTGAAGTCTCACGTTCGCAACTGTGGCAGTGGGTCAAGCACGGTGTCAAGACTGCCGAGGGCCGCACTGTCGACAAGGCTTACGCACTCAAGTTGTTGAGGGAGCAGGCGGAGGAATTGGCGTCAAAGGCGCCCAAGGGTAACAAGTATCAGGTCGCCGCTCGATATTTCGAGACTCAAGTGACGGGCGAAGACTATGCCGATTTCTTGACGAGGTATGCTTGATGTTTTCCTTCCCAGTTGTATTTCCCATAACTGACATTCTTGTTCGCAGTCTTCTATACAACGAGATCACTACGGTGGGATCGTCACAGCCTGCGGCCAAATTGTAAGCCGGTTGATGATTGGAGAGCAAAAAGAGGGCAATGGATTGGAAACTTAGCCTGGGACAGCAAGAGCAACGGGTAGCATGAGGCTTAATTCGGCCTAGCTGTAGTCCGGAGCCGATAAGAGAAGGAGGAAGTGTACACCAAGTCAAATGCAGATCGAAAAGGGTTGGGTTTCCCTTGTTGTGCCAAAGTGCAAGTCAAATGACAAATATATATACCTTTGTGAAGTATGCAAATAGTTATGTGAACAAGGCCAAGGAATGTATTTCTTTGAGACGAATGTTTAGCATCGAAGACTCTTGCCGATCTTTTCTCCTAGAGAGGATTCTCCCATCGGGGGTATTGCCTTACACATAACCTCCAGCACTGCTCGCCTAGAGATGACCCGAAGCTTCATGGAACTGATTTTTCTCATTTGCTCCCTGCTGGTTGTGGGCCCCTTACCATCACCATCGTTCAGCCACCGGCGCAATATACCGGCGTCCCGACCACTTTTCTCCAAAACATGGAGGAACCTTCAGCAAACTGCAGGCTATAATACAGCGCCCTTGTTGGCGGCAGGAACCCCGTGCACTGCATTCTTGGGATATTGTTTTCCTTTTAAACGCCGCACTTCTTGAAATACAATATATCTGTGAGTGGACGACGACTCAGGCCAATTCTAACCTGTACAAGGCTCAACCTGAATCGAGGACCAGTAAAACGAAGCATCTGTCGCTGCACCATACCACCATCGGGGGTCAGATCAACCGGGACACAACAGAAGCGAAGGCACGCTACGGATTGTTCGACAACACGCTGTTCTTCGATTCAAGATGAAGATCCTTATCACAGGAGCAGGTGGCTTCCTAGGACAATTCCTCGCCCGTGAACTGCTCTCCAACCCAGAGCACAAAGTTGTCCTCACAGACATCGTCGACGTGCCGGTCCCCAAGGGGGCCAAGAATCCGCAAAACGCAACATGCATCAAGGCGGACCTGCTGAAAGACCGCAGTGTGGTCACACCAGATCTGGACGCGGCTTATATCTTCCATGGAATCATGTCGGCCGGCTCCGAAGCAAACTTCGATTTGGGCATGAGCGTCAACTTGGAATCGACGAGATTGCTCCTCGAAACAATCCGAAAAGTTCGCCCAGGGCTAAGAGTCATCTACTCTTCCAGCGGCGCCGTTTATGGTCGGCCTCTACCCGACGTGATAACGGAAGACGTCCTCCCCACACCTGAAGGCTCCTATGGCGCCGCCAAGTTCATGTGCGAGATCCTGATCAACGACATGACCCGGCGGGGTTACATCGATGCATTCATCATCCGATTTCCCACTATTACGGTTCGGCCAGGAAAGCCAGCGCCAGCCGCGTCGGCATTTATCTCAGGAATCATCCGCGAGCCCTTGGCGGGTAAAGAGTGTGTTTTGCCTGTCAAGGATAGAGCGTTCCCTAGCCACGTGTGCTCACCAAAGACATTGATCCACAATCTTGTCTACACTCTCACGCTTCCTTCGGACGCGTTGCCGAGCCACAAGCGCGTCGTCAATGCCCCGGGACATGTGGTCACGATCCAAGACATGCTCGACGCACTGGCCAAGGTCGGAGGCGAGGATAAACTCAAGTACGTCAAAGAGGAACATGATGAGCCCATTGCGAAGATTCTGTATACATGGGCAGTCAAGTATGACAATTCGTTAGCATACAAGTTGGGAATGAAAAAGCCGGATAGTTTCGAACAGTCGGTGCGGGAGTATGTTGAGTATATGAAGGAGCAAGAACAGCTGGGATAGGAAGGCTCGACGGGCAGCAAAGGGGTAAGGGAACAAAGGACTGTGCAAGCGGAGAGACCAGGCTTGCAAAGGAGTAGTTAGCTGGACATAGGGACATGTTGTGTTAAAAGCAGCCGTCATTTCAAACCTCTTTCCTATCAACACCATCTATTTGATCTTCCTTTGGTCCGTTCTGAATCTTGCCATTGACCTACATACCTCGCACGCGAGAGTTCCAACTCTTTTCCCACGCCGTCTTCACCTACGCACGCTGTGACACGTGAATTACCATCGGTCTCTGTCCCTGCCTCGTCTCGTTACTAGGGACAAGGTGTGCAGTCGACCGACCGGATTGCCACCACAGGAATCGATCCATTGTGGACCTATCGCCGTCGGTGTCGAAGCCGATCTTGGCCGATCAGGCAACTGAACACAAGGATCTGAGCGTTTTCCAGAGGGGGATAGAATTATCCTTCGGGGGGTAGACCCTTCGGATCCTCTCTAATTGTGGGATATATTAGATGCCATGGGAATAAAGGATGAATGTGGAAATCAATATACAAGAGGGAAAAGAAAACAATGACCAAAGGCGTGCTTGATTTCGTTGGTCGGGCTTCTCGAAGGAGTCCCTGAAGACCCCTGACGCCCCTCGCCGATAATACTATTTATTCCCGTGGAAGATGAATTTGTTGCCCCTCATGCGGAGAAAAGGCCGGCGACATCATTCTTCCATCATTGTTCAAACACTGGCACCACTGGGAAATGTGGGTGGACGGCGAGAGTCTTTTCTCTCTCATACGGCATGTTGCCGACCGCCTCAATAAAACGGGGACTTTGGGGACCCAAGAACCGACCGGGTATTGATTGATTGACTGATTGACTGATCGAGCATCCCTCCAAAAGGACCTACATATCTAGGGTGGGAGCTTTTTCGGCAATTGCTTCTTATTACAGCATCAGCTGCAGCATAAGTTATCTTTTGTTGGAAGTGATCTATCCTCTAAGAGAGACAGAGAAGAAACTTGCCTACAATTCTGAAAAGCGCCCGGAGAGCAGGATTATTTACGTTGGACACGCTGCGCTGAGAGACAACCGCACGCGAGCAAGTCGATTCGCACTCCCCTTCGACCTGTATATCTTTTCCCTCGCTCGATTCAGATCCTGAATTCTCCCTCCTCTTCGCACAACGCATACAAGATGCCGGACCTCTCCCAAAACATCTCGGTGCGCATCCTCAAGGCCGCCGAAGCCGGCGGGTACGGCGTGCCCGGCGTGGTCTGCTACAACTTCGAGGCCATCATTGCCTGCCGCAAGGCCGCCGAGGCCAAGAACTCGCCCTGCCAGATCCTCCTGTTTCCCTGGGCGCAAGAGTATGCGTATGACAACATGGTGAATCTGGCAGCGGACGTGTGTCGGAGCGCCAAAGTGCCCATGTCGCTGCACCTGGACCACGCGCAGAGCGAGGAGGCCATCAAGCGGGCCGCGCACACGGGCAAGTTCGACAGCATCATGGTGGACATGTCGCACTACGAGAAGGAGGAGAACCTCGCCCGCACCACCGAGCTGGTCAAATACTGCCACGACCTGGGCATCGCCACCGAGGCCGAGCCGGGGCGGATCAATGGTGGCGAAGCAGGCGTGCAGGATACGGGCGACCTCGAGGGCATCCTCACCACGCCGGAAGAGGCACTGCAGTTCATCAACACGGGGATCGACTTCCTGGCCCCGGCCATCGGCAACGTGCACGGGCCGTACAACGGCGTCGAGAACATCAAGCTGGATTTCCCGCGGCTGGCGTCCATCCGTGAGGCCTCGCGCGGCAAGGTCACGCTGGTGATGCACGGCACCAACGAGTTCACCGCCGATATCTTCAAACAGTGCGTCGCCGCCGGCATGACCCGTCTAAATGTGAATCAGATTGTGCTGTGGAAGTACGAGGAGTACGCCCGCCAGAAGGCCGGCAGTACCCCGCTGACCGAGTTCATGGAGGAGGGCACCAACCTGATCCAGGAGCGCATCGAGTGGATGATGGACGCAGTGGGCAGTACCGGCAAAGCAGGGGATGTCAAGATCTGAGAATACAAAAGCAGAGCAGAGTGGCTCCCAGACGGAGAGCGCGATATGTGTCATGGAGTAAAGGATGGTCGTATGGTAAATGTTCTAGCAAGATGGTCTGGATAATGACGCATCTTCTCTTTCAAAGGCCCATATACTGATCAGTCGGACGCATTGTGGTCAGATCAGATAAGATTGGATTGGATCATTCTATCATTTCATCATAGCAGTTGGAATGTAACTCTTCGATCTCGCATGGGAAGAGTGAAAATTGCTCCGCACCTCGTCGCGTGTCCAAATTTCCCGTCAACCCTGTCGACTTTCGTGGGTTTATCTCTCTCATCTCGATGCAATCCGCTTTCTTTCACTTCGAGTCTGTCCCTATAGTCTCCTTCATTGCTGCCTCCGTCGCTTTCTTAACCTGTGCGTCTTCATCATTCGCCTTCTTCGCCTCATCTTTCGTGACGTCCGTCTCGTCATCCCTCAACGTGATCACCTTGGCATCCTTCTCCTCGTCGCTATCGCCCAAGCTAAATGGGTCGTTTTCCGTCACGGGGCTCGGGTCGATACTTTGCAAGGGCTGCCATTTGCTCGATTTTGTCGTCGTCGACGCCGCCCCGGTGGGCTTTGGCGAGGCGCTATACATGTCCCTGATCTCCTCGGGTGGGCCATCTTGGAAGGATACCTTGCGATTCGTGCCTGGCGAGGGTCGACGATCTGGTCCTTGAACGCCCGCAGAACGGAAAAGGTTGGGGTTAGCCATTGGCCGGCTCGATGTGCGTGGCGGAGCTTCGCCGTCACGGAGTTCTAGTTTTGAAAAGTCGTCGCCGATAGGCTGCATATCGGCATCGTAGCGTTGGAGGTCTGCACTACGGCGCATCTCGCCGCTCCGGCGGCCTGTGAATGGCGATTGTGGTGATGGCCGGGCAGGAAGAGGAGGTTGGCCTTGTGCGAACTCGGCATCATCGTCATCACCATCTATCTTCTTCTTGAATGCGCTGATCCAGTTGTTCACAGTCTTCTGCGTTTCCATGAAGCCTTTCCGGATATTGTCACGGATTTCGGGAAGATCATCTATTGCACCATATGTTAGTATGTGTCCGCATTGCGACTGAAAGGGTGCTTTACCATCAATAAAGCTCCGCCATGGCACATCATCAGGGTTCGGGCTTGCCCCTGGGCGACCTGGCCTCGATCCGGGTAGACCTTCGTTGTATCTTCCCTTAGAATCGCGACGCCTTGGTTGCTCTCTTTCGGCACCGACACCGGGGTTGTATTCCTGAGCCAACTGTCTGGCGTAGAGCTCATCTGCTTCTAGTTGGCTGAGCTTTGTAGACGTCGGAGATTGCTGCTGGACAGGACGAGGAGGTTTGGCTGGAGGCAAGGGCTCTGGTTCTCGTTGGGATTCGGGGTCTGTCATCCCAAGCAGGGCATTAAATGCAGGTTCAATCTCTCCTCTGCTTGCGGTGAGGACTGCGCGAATGACGTTAGAGTCAATCGTAGGGAAGGCTTCTTTCAACGTGAGCTCGGCCTGTTCTCGCGGAGACATAGGTCGTGGAGGTTTGGCGGGTGGAGCAACTTCGTCTTTGGGAGGAGGTTTAGGCAGCGACGATAACTCTGCCTTGGATGTTGTAGTCGCCTCGATGGTGCCGGTCTCCTGGTCGCTGTCGAAATCCAAGGGGCGAGCGGTAGTTGGAGATTCTGGGGGTCCATCGGACGGTTTTAGTGGTGACACAGGTGAGGGCTGCGCAGTGTTAGGAGGAGTATTGCATACAGAGTAACAGCGGGAATATCTCTTACGGGATTGTTGCTTGCCATGTTGAGAGTTGGGGTTGGTCTTCTCACTTGCAACTGTGAATGGCTTTTCAATGGAGTAGAGAGTGAAGGTACGAGTGTCTTAGCATCTCAAGGCAGCTGAATAAATCAAGAGTTGAGACGACGCATGTTTCCGAGAGCCAGATGGCGTGGGGTCGGAATTGATCCTGCCTGACTTGTTGCTGGTGCTGGTGCTGGTGCAGGTGCGGGCCTCTTGTCCTTGGCGGTGGCTGCAATGACGTTGATTGTGGCGCCTCCTCCAGTCTTTGTGCATAACAACTACATATGTACTGGGTACCCAGTACGCGTCTGTGGCGGTGCGAACATCAATTCTTGACAACGGCCACCTGCATGTTTTCTGTCGTCCATCCATCCCAATCCCAATCCACAGCTGCTGAGTTCGCGCAGAGATGGTTGGTCGGGGAGCCATAATCGGGCATGACTTCTCAACCTTCTTCACACAATGTCAGACTTTGATTTGTCCTTCATCCCGGCATTATACACCCCTCCGGCTCTCCTGCCCATTTCCAGGCACAAGGGGAGTCTACTCTACACCATTGAAACACATCAGATCACAGTGCTAGTGGGCCAGACGGGCAGCGGAAAAACAACTCAGCTCCCTCAGTATCTGGAACAGGCGGGATGGTGCGCCAACGGAAAATGTATAGCAGTCACTCAGGTCGGTCAGTCGACTTCTTCGGACCGCCCAGATCATGCTGACTCTGTGTCTGTAGCCCAGAAGGGTCGCTGTCACTACTGTGGCCACTCGAGTTGCCGAAGAGATGAGATGCCAAGTGGGTGAACAAGTCGGTTACTCAATTCGCTTCGAAGATGTCACATCGGCCAAGACCAGAATCAAATTTCTCACCGACGGCATGCTCTTGCGAGAAGCCCTGGTTGATCCATTGTTTACGAGGTATTCCGTCATCATGATTGATGAAGCTCATGAACGGTCACTCAGCTCCGATATCCTGCTCGGTCTGCTGAAGAAGGTGAAGAAGCGACGACCTGAATTGAGGATCATCGTCAGCAGCGCAACTCTTGAGGCAGAACGGTTCGCAGATTTCTTTAGGGACCATGATGCTCCTGAAAATGAGCAACAACGCCGAATCGTCAGCATTGAAGGTCGGACATATCCCGTGGATATTCTCTACCTAGATCAACCTGCGGACGACTACGTAGAGAAAGCCGTACAAACGGCCTTCACAATCCACCAGCAAGAGCCACCTGGAGATATTCTTGTATTTTTGACGGGCAGGGAAGAAATCGAAAGAGCTGTGCAAAAGCTCTCGGACCTAGCATCAACACTATCCCAACAAGCACAAGCCCTCCAACCTCTCCCACTCTACGCAGGCCTCAGCATAGAAGATCAAATGTACGTCTTCTCCGAAGCGGCGGAAAATACCCGGAAAGTCATCGTTGCTACGAATATTGCAGAAGCATCCGTCACCATCTCCGGTATTGTGTACGTCGTCGATTGTGGGTTTGTGAAACTGCGCGCATTTAATCCGAATACGAACATCGAAACTCTGACACCCTTTCCCACATCAAAGGCCTCCGCAACTCAACGAGCCGGCCGCGCAGGGCGTACGCGACCAGGCAAGTGTTTCCGCCTCTACACGCAGCAATCCTACTCATCACTCGCCCCAACAACCACCCCAGAGATCCAACGGTCAAATCTCGCACCCGTAGTCCTCCAACTGAAAGCCCTAGGTATCGACAACATTGTGCGTTTTGACTTCCTCTCACCGCCACCCTCGCAACTCCTCGCCCGTGCATTCGATCTACTCTATGCTCTGGGCGCAGTGGATGACTACGCAAAGCTTACTGCTCCACTTGGGACACGCATGGCCGAGCTCAGCGCCATCCCGCCCATGATGGCCAAATGTCTTCTTACCTCCTCCCTGCCACAATTCGACTGTCAGAGCGAGATGCTCACCCTCGCGGCGATGACTTCTCTACAAGGAAATGTCTGGTTCCACCACAGTGGGGAGAAAAAGGCAATGGACTCATCAAGACGGAAATTCGCTGCCGACGAAGGTGATCAACTTACGCTCTTGAATGTATACCAAGCGTTTATCACAAAAGGAAAACGAGAGGCAAGATGGTGTCATGAGCACCATTTAAATTTCAAGTCGATGCAAAGAGCTGTGAGCATTAGAAATCAGCTGGGGAGATATCTTGAGAGGTTGGGCGTCAAAGTGGACGACTCACAGTCAGCCACATCTCTCAACACTCAACAGAAGGACAAAGCCACGAATACCTTAAAGTGCCTAGTGACCGGCTACTTCTCGCAAGCCGCAAGAATGCAGCCCGATGGGACGTTCAAATCCGTGTCGGGAAATGTCACCATGCACGCGCATCCGACTTCTCTCCTGTTCAATCGGAAAGCAGAGTATGTGGTGTTTCATGAATTATTGGAGACGGGGGAGAAGGTTTACATCAAGGATATTTCCAAAGTTGAGAAGGCATGGCTAGTGGAGTTCGGGGGAGGTTATTACAATCTCAAGAGTCAAATCCCCGGCGAAGGCTCAGGATTGAGAAAGGCATGACGAAGTCATGCCTTATGAATTATGTATACAGACCAGCGCTCTGGTATCAAGAGCAGTGAATTATAAAACTGAAGTGTCTCTTGTGATCAGCACCTGACCCGATATTGACAAGGTCAGAACCCCCATTTTCGCTTTTCGTATCATGGACTTCTCGCACCTCCTATATCATATCTCATGGGTACTAAAGGTCGTTCATTCCTAGCTGTGCTCTCGTTATTCGGACTCGTAATCTAAAATCGGTTCCCTCTGTGTAAATTCCATCGCTTCTGCTTCCGTTGCCAGGCCCTTTTCCTTGCGTTTCTTTAACTTGGCCGGCCCTTCCTTGCACACGTCGCATGCAAGGTGGCACTCCGCCGAGCCACTCTTGTCTCCGAAATATCGAGAGACCAGTATGTGACGACAGCAGTCCGTATTCTCACAGAATTCGACTATGCTGCGGAGCGACTCAAATCTTGATTCAGTCTTGGCCCGGCTTTTGTCCTTGGCTGCCTCGCATGTGGCGCGATACTCGCACCGCTCTTTGTCTTCTCGAGTGTACATTATTATGCTTGATGCTGCTTTGTTGTCCCGTCCGGCACGTCCTGACTCTTGTGTGAATGACTCCATGCCCCTCGGAAGACCGTAGTGAATCACAAACCGAATAGTGGGGACATCGATACCCATGCCAAAAGCTGTGGTGGCACAGATGATGTTGAAAGAGCTCATCATACTTTGGTCGTCATCGACTTGCAGTAGATGGGGATTTGAAGTGGCATATCTGATAAATGTCCTCTGTACTTTCTCCCGTTTTTCCATATCTAAACCGGCGTGGTAAGCGCATGATCGAACTCCCGCGGCAGTCAGCTCTGAGGCGAGAGTGTCTGCTGTAGCACGAAGCGGGACATAGATAATGCCAGTGATCGGAGGCACAGTAGCTGTCGCGTGCTGCTCTTTCTGATATCTGAGCCTTATTAGCCGTCTCCGATGCATGAAGTCCAATTTTGCTAGAAGGTATGGAAACATGTCATCCTGTCCATTCTTTGGGTTCGACTCTGAGAAGTATTGAATCTCATAATGAATGTTTGGCCGTGCAGTGGAAGTGGAGAAGCATTTCGTTTTGTCAATATCAAGGCTTAGAAATTTGAAAATGTCTTCTCGCACTTGTTTTGTAGCAGTCGCAGTCACCGCCATCATGGGTACGGTGGGACAGGTGAGGTTCGTCTTCAGCCATACCAGCTCTTTGTAACACGGACGAAAATCATGTCCCCATTCACTGATGCAATGTGCCTCGTCCACAGCAATTCGCACAAGTTGACCCTGGCGATGGACTTTCAAGATGAGCTTTCGAAACCGGTCCTGTGCGCAAAGCTCCGGGGTGACGTAGAGAAGCTTGGTTTCTGGATGTCCGCAGAGGAGGTCCGTCTCGATTCGGACTTTTTCAGACCATTCAGTCTTGCCATTGATACGCTGGACAGCGATACCCAATGACTTAGCTGCTTGGACCTGGTTTTCCATCAACGCTAGGAGGGGTGAAATGATGACAGTGACTCCGAGAGACACAACAGCAGGTAACTGGTAGCATAGTGACTTGCCAAAGGATGTGGCTGCGCAGAGAAACACATCATGTCCAGCCAGCACAGCAGTAATGATCTCTTCCTGGAGTGGTCGGAATGCGGCCTTGCCGAAGACGCGTCTCAGGGTAAAGCGTAGATCTGTAATGCTTACGGTCCGTCTTAATTGCGATCGTGACATGATGCCCGCAAAAGGTAATCGGCGCGGATAGTAAGACGTGCATGGTACTCGGTACCGGTACTGGCGTGACAACCATCGGGAGAAATCGACGCGTCAAGCGCGGAATGCAGATAACGCTTGGCAAGCTAATGGTCCAAAGTAGAGCCTCGCGGTATCACGTGATAGTAGCTGCGGAGCAATACTAGCTTGCTAACTGCTCCTGCCTGCCTCGCTGCTCTAAGGAGGTCCCCATAGCTCGAGCTTCAATTGGCTCGCACAATCTTCTCTTCTTAGTTTAGTGGACAGCCGCTGGAACCTTAAGCGGTAGTAAGGCTAACCAGGCGTTTCCCCTCAATTGACGACCAGCTGTCCCCTTCAACCTCTCCTTAGACCATATGTCAAGACGAATTAGGTCCGTTCTATCACATTTGATTTGTGCGGCGGAATCAAGGTCAAAAGATACTTCCCACCTCATGGACGCTGCCTGGATCTTCATTTTTACTTTCGTTTTCGCAAAATGCTCCAATTCCTCCCAAGTCCCTCTAAACATCAACCACCTAAGAACCTGTCTTCTCAACTCCCACTGCCACCCCCTTTTCAAGCCACTAAAAGCATTTTTGCAAGCTACATTTGACCCTTGGCGAACACTCCATGGTTGGGATTGCAAGAGCCCGTGGCTGTGGTACCTGCAGGAAGCGGAAGATTGCGGTATTCTCATTTTGCGATACAGATGAGAAGGTCCTGGCTAATTACAATCGCTGATAGTGCGGCTTGGAAAAGCCCTCCTGTGCTCAATGCATCAAATCGAACAGAGTATGCACTGGGTACCGGAAATACCCCATCTTCATTGTTCATCAGCCACCAAAGGGGGACGACTCGAAGCAAGCGAAGCACAAGGAACCTACGTTTGATTCGACAACACATCACCCTGGAACTCGGCAAAACCCTGTGGATGTCATCGGAGTGACAAACACCTCATCGCCAAGTGGAGTTTATTCTGATCCAGTCGCATCTCTTATTAGGTTGGGAGCACAAGTGAACGCCAACCCCGCTCTCCGACAGCGCCTTTTGGAGGCCTACCTGGATAACCACCTGTCAAAGAACACGCTGGGACCCATGCAGCAGAGGGTGTGGCTAATACAAATCCCCAAGCTTCCTAATCTTGTCCCTGCGTTAGAGGTTTCGATGATGGCGTTGTCCCTGGCCAAGCTAGGCGAAGTCTATCATGACGAAGGGCTTACTCACGAGAGCCTAAAGCTTTACCGTGAGGCTTTGCACCAGGTCCAACTAGCGCTATGGGATCCCGACTTGATGCTCCATGATCAGACTCTCGCTGCTTGTGTGGCGTTAGGCATGTACGAGATGAGCCAATGTCCAAATCGATCGAAACATGGATACATTAGTCACACTCTCGGCTGCCAAAAGCTGATTCAACTCCGTGGAGCCGAGGCACATATGGATGGGCTGGGGCATTCGATCTTTGTACATTTTAGAGTCCAAGGCGTAAGACGTCTGCGGCCTAGACTAAAGGGCGAGGGTGCTAATTGAAATCAGATTCTTTACTCGCTAGATCTATGCCAGCCTTCCTTCCTGGGAGAGCGGTTGTGGCAAGAGGTGCCCTGGCAAAGAAGGCCGAAAACGCCCTATGATCGGATTTACGACTTCCTCACCTGTGCACCCGAGCTCCTCAGGCAAGGCGAAATGCTCGAGCATATGGATCCTCAAAACAAATTACACCTCGCAAGGGACATGATTTGGAAGTGCTGGAAGTTGGATGCTGAGTTACAGTCGGTTTACGACTGCATGGAGAAGAACCATGACGGACCATTATATTGGCCAGAACTAGCGAGAGATGAAAGCCTCGACCCCGGCCCGAAGAATGGACTGCTTTTCCCGGTGGCTTTCCATTATCCCAATCTCTCCATCGCCAACACTGTCATCATTTATTGGGGGGTACAAGCTATACTGTGGCAAGGATTGTGGCACCTGTACGGCGTAATGGCTGAATTGCCGATGAAATTTGCGGGCGCCAGGGACTTCGCACAAGGGGATGTGGATGATGACACCAGACCCTTGACGAACGCCGTCAGCAACGTTTTCCACTTCCCACCATTGGAACATCGAGCGGACTTTGCGGCACCGTGTCGTAATATACTTCAGTCCGTGGAATACGCACTGCAAGGCGATATGTTCGATCAAGGGCCGAAGTGTGTCGCAGCCCCGTTGAGGATGGCGTTAGAAACGCTACTGCCTTACCCTAAATACAAGCGGGAGGTTGCTTGGGCAGAGAGGGCTCTGGGGAAAGTGCAGGAGCGATCTCTCCGTCTGCTCATTTACTATACCCCTAGTAGATAGACATCAGATATCCAAGAATGTGAGCCTGAGCTACTCCTTCATGTCGTGCCACGCGTTGCCACCCTTGGCGACTTCAGCCTCGTGCTGTGTGGATCCGCCAATTGGCACCCACCTCGCCGCCAAGGCTAGCCTGTCCTCAGCCCACCAGCCTTGCTTCTGGGTGACTTCTGCCCCGATCTCTCGTCTCCCCTTTCGCGTCTTCTTCACGCAATACCTCAATTCAATTCTGTCCACCCGAGGACTCCATTAATCCTCTTCAATGACACATCGTCTATCGACATCAGCTGGCTCTTTTTTCCCAAGCCCACACAAACCTCCCAAGCCTACAAAAACCCCCAGAAATGGCTTCAGAGCCCGGTCCGGTCGTGGAGTTTCTAGGCCTAGTCGCCTACCATTATGAAAGCATGCGACCTCTTCTGCCAACTTACCTGCATCTCCTCATATCGGCAATTTTCCCAATCTACACGGCCGCTCACGCCTCACTTTCTAGACCATCGTCGGCAGTTTCGAAGAAATCGAAGAAATGCGCCACTGGAGAAGTTGATGACGATGATTCCCAAACCAGAATTGAAAATCTCACCCCTTCTGACGCGATATTATTTCCCATCATGGCTGGTGCTACTCTAGCATCTCTGTACTTCATTCTCAAGTGGCTCCAAGATCCCGCTTGGCTAAACTGGGCTCTGGGCATCTACTTCTCGCAGATCGGCCTCTTCTTCGCGATGAAGTTCCTGAAGGATTGCTTTTCTGTGGCGAGATCCTTTTTGCTTCCAAATGAGTATTCCCGTGCAGGGAAGCTGTGGAAGGTGGACCAGCAGGAATGGTGTTTCAGAACGGAGAATGGGACACGCACCAGCTCACCGTTTCCGGGTTTTGTGGGACGAATCCCTCTTCCCTCGTCCGTTGTATCGCTTGTCTGGGATCTACGAGCGCTCCTATATACGAAAGCACGGCTCGAGTTCCACATCCATAAATTGATTACGATCAAGACAGTAATCGAAATTCTTGACATAGCCAGCCTCATCCTCTCCACTGGCGTTGTCTATGTTCACACCTTCGTCGCGAAGCCCTGGTTCCTGACCAACCTCCTTGGTTTCTCCTTCTGCTACGGTTCCTTGCAGTATATGACACCTACGACCGCCTGGACCGGCACTCTTGTGCTCGGCGCACTCTTCTTCTATGACATTTACTTTGTGTTCTTTACACCGATGATGGTCACCGTGGCGACGAAACTGGATGTACCAATCAAGTTGCTCTTCCCTCGGCCCGATGGCTGCGTGTTTCCTGTGGGTGCACCGGAAGGATCGCCGGAAATGGAAGACTACTTGCAGTGTCTGGCGAAGAAAAGAACCATGGCGATGCTGGGGTTGGGGGATATTGTTGTGCCGGGCATGATGCTGGCCTTTGCTTTGAGGTTTGATTTGTACTTATACTATCTTCGGCAAGCCAAAGACAGACAACAGATAGGTAAGGATGCATCGAAGCCGACCTACACCAGCGCAACAGGAAATTGGGGAGAGCGGTTCTGGACCACTTCGAAATTGTGGACGAAGGAGATGAGGGCCAAGCGATTTCCCAAACCGTACCTCCGCGCGACCATACTAGGTTACCTCGCTGGAATGATTGTGACGGTTGTTGTGATGCAGGTTGCACAACATGCGCAGCCAGCACTGCTCTATCTCGTCCCTGGAGTCCTGTTGTCGTTCTGGGGCACTGCTTTGGTGAGGGGAGACTTGAAAGAGTTGTGGCATTACAGTGAGCATCCAGAGGGCGACGACAAGAAAGCAGAGGATGCAAAAGACGAGAAGAGGCTACCACCGTCAGCCGGCGACGGTAGCAACGATGATCAGGCTGTAACCAATGGGGCAATTACCAGCAAAATGGAGGAGGTTGATCCTGCCAAAGTGCAGGACAAGAAATCTGGAAACGAAACCCAAGAGACTGCTAAGAGAGAGTCTGAGAAGACGTGCTGTCGCCTTATCCATTTTTCAATCACGTTACCAAGTCCAAACCCTGAGGCAGCGCTTACCGATGAGAAAGGTTCGCGCAAATCGGCGACCGGTGAAGAGAACTCGAAGAGGACCCTGGTCACTAAAGGCACTGAGGGAAATGAAGGGCTGCACAGGAATTGGGAGCGGAATGACAATGGCGAACAGTCCGACAAGCGTGCCAGGAGGTCATGATGAGGTCAAAGGAGCACCACGGACTATCCGCAAACAGATCATTACAATGCACAGCGACAGAACTGAGACAGGGGCAAGCCCAGGGGTAACTTCGAATGGAGCCATAGATGCATACTGCATACTTTAGGCAGAATCACAGGAGCAATGAAAAGACATGCTCTCATGTCTCAATGATTTGTCACATGATTCACTCCATTCCTATGGGTGATTCTGGGTGCTGTTCGCTTATTCCTTTCACCATTCTTTTGTTTTCACCGTTACCATGATGCTTTGTGTCGTTCTCACCATTCCTGTGAGATCTATTTGTTCATCTCTTTCGCCTGGGCCTTCAGTTCGTCCTTGCTCTTTGTCTCAGCAGGAATATCTACCAAGTCATGGCGGTCAGCTCTCTCGATCATTTCACAGTCACAGATGTATGTTGTACTCACTCTCGGAAATCTGAGGGCCTTTGCTATGATGATGGTGGGCTTGTGCCTTTTGGTGCTCCTGGTGAAGGGGGTGGTCAGATGCGTTGGAATCGCTTGACTCTTTGGCGACTTTGTCAAAGACGTGAGAGTCGGTGTTTTCTTCGCCAGGCATGACAGGCATTTTTGACGTGGTTGCTGTGGTGAGGTACTCTTTCAAACTGTATCTGAGATGAAGAAGTGAATTCAAGAGGGTTTTGTAGTTGTGCCACCAAGCTGTTGCGTGACCATGAACCGTCAGCCTTCTGCATCAACACCTGCGATTGCACCGCAAACCATGTTGTCAGTGCTCATGACGTCGAGATGTGGGGTGCTGGAGAAGAGGGAGTCGGTGACGGAAGCCCACCGAGCCCAACCAATTGCATGGTTGGGTTTCACTAAGCGGCCCCCGGGCACAAACGGGGCACTCCAGGGATGGGCCTCCTTAGCCTTGTGCTTGAACAAAGCCCCGGCGAGTACCTCGTACTGGGTAACTACCTGGTGCTGGTAACCACATCGGCCCCGCAAGGACTCCCCCAAGAGTCCAAGACGCCTAACGAGATTTGATCCGAGCCGAAATGCCACGCGGCTCTCAAGCCTCTTGGGCCTTTCTCTTTTGTCTCCGCTGAGCGCAGAGAGATAGAGCCCTTTGGGAATTGCCTGCTCCGTTCAATCAACTTTCTATGCTTCCATGTCAGTCTGCAATTCTCTAGCCGTCTTGCCTTGTTTCTTTATAACTTGATTGTGCTCTGCTGGAGAAAGGTCACTCCTTTTTCCGGTCCCTATTCCTCCTTTTGCCGCCTGCGAGCACTATCTCCCGCCCAATATGCCCTCGATCCTCTCCGACGCTGACAAGGAGACGGTGAAGCGGACTGTACCCAAGGCTTCCAACAAGATTCAAGCCGTGGCCGTCGCTCGCCTCTATGTTGCTCTCCCCAATGACAGATCATGGACCTATACCGGTCTTCAAGGCGCCGCTGTCCTTTCCAATGACCTCGTGGGAAACACTTTCTGGATCAAACTCGTCGACATCTCTCCTGCAAACCGAGGCGTGATATGGGATCAAGAAATATACGACACTTTTCAGTACAATCAGGATCGGACATTCTTTTATTCCTTTGAACTCGAACAATGCCTCGCGGGCTTATCCTTTGCCGACGAGAGAGAGGCCCGGCAATTCAAGAAAAAGATGGATGATCGCGAGAAAAACGCCAGTAAACATACAAAAGCCCAGCCATTCGCATCTGCCGCCGGAGGAGGCCAGGTGCATGTGCCTGGAAGTACGCACAAACACCACAGTCGCGTTAGCAACTTGTTCCGTGGCCACCGGCACAGTTCTGCCTCCCAACAGCCGCAACAGATTGTCCCTCAGCCAATTTACAGCCCCGGCCTCGCCCCAGCCGGCCGTCCTCATAGCAGTGCAGATACAATCGACCTTGCAGATCCAACATGGAGACCGATCTTGGATGAACTGCTGCAAATGGGCATCACCGAAGACCAGATCGCGCAAAACGCAGACTTTATCAAGCGCTATGTGCAAGAAAAGCAGGCAGAAGGAATCGCAAATGGAATTGCTTCGGCCATACCGACGGTGACGGCTTCTGAGACAAGATCAAGGGCGCCACCTCCGCCGCCTCCGTCGGTGCCCTTGTCAAGGATTAGCCCTGAAAATACCGGTACGGCCTCTTCTTCGAGCCGAAGAGGCCCTCCTCCAGCCCCTCCGCCATCGAGAAGACCTGTGGGAGGGAGGGCCCCTTCACCTCCTCGGTCGAGCCCTCCTCCGGCAGCAAGGACTCCATCTCCTCCTCCTGCAGCAAGTCCACAGCCTAGATTCCGAGCTCCTCCACCTATTGCAGATGCCGGCAAGTTCGCTGTCAAAGCAGGTCCAGCACTCCACCCGTCTGGCCGAGCCCGCGCTTCCTCAGGCTCCCTTGCAAATCCAGGGCCTCCGCCTCCTCCTCGTCCTCCGAAAACTCCAATCGAGGAGGAGCAGCCACAAGGAGGTTTGTTCAGAGTTCCTCCGCCATTCACCGGGGAACGCAAATCCTCGGCACCTCCCCCTCCACCGAGTCGTGGACCTGTTCCTCCTCCGCCACCCAGCCGTGAGATACCAGCTCCTTTTGCTGGGCCCCCACCGCCTTTACCGCCCAAAGCAGGACAAACGCCATCGCATTCTGCGTTGTTCATTCCTCAACCTCCACCTCCTCCGCCGGCGCGCAACAATGCGCCACCTTTACCACCTCCGAACACTCGAGCAGTTCCTCCTCCGCCTACAGGCGCTGTTCCACCACCACCACCACCTCCTCCTCCTCCGCCACCACCACCTATGCCCTCTTCTACTGGCCCTCCACCACCGCCCCCCATGCCTTCATTCGGCGGCCCACCCCCACCGCCTCCCATGCCCTCTTCGGGGGGTCCCCCCCCACCTCCTCTAATGCCTAGCTCTTCTGGGCCTGCTCCTCCTTTGCCTCCAGTAGGAGGGGATGGCCGTGATTCGCTTCTGGCAGCAATCCGTGGCACAGGCGGCAAATCCGGTGGCGGGCTACGCAAAGTTAAGGAAAGCGAAAAGCGGGACCGTAGTGCGGCCGTGGTGCCAGGATCAGAGAGCAGTGCTCCCCCGCCACCTCCAGGAGCGCCTGGGTCTCCTTCAACACCCGCTGGGGATCAAGGGGGCTTGGCTGGAGCGTTGGCAGCAGCATTGAGCCAGAGAAAGAAGAAAGTTAGTGGCAGCGGTGAGTTCGCCCTTGGTTTTTCTTGTCAGATGTTTGGTGTTTTGCTTCTGATCAATGAATGCTGACTTTGATGCGACAGATGATGAGAAGGATGACGATGACGATTGGTGATCCATACTCAGCTTTCCAAGAGGGTGAGTGCACGTATACCCTTCACCGATGCTTTCTCTCAAATCTTAAGCGATGGAAATGGGAAACGTGGTGTGGTGGCGAACAGACGTTAAAAATGGCGGAAACGGAGGCAAAGAAGAATGGTTAGAGGCTATATGCAAGAAGCCTCTGAGGGTCAAAGAAGAGAAAAACTTGATTGAGGAGAATATCGATGCTATAGTTCATGCAAAGGGTACAAGCATGAGGGCAGCGAGTGGGTAAATAGAATGAGCAAAAGACAGCGAAGGCCTTCTTGGGAAAGGTTGGGGTTGAGCAAAGGAAACATCACAATAAATCAAGTTGAGCCCACACTTCGGTTACATCAAGATGCGAGAATTGAAGAAGCATGAGGCACAAATCGATTCCCTTCCATCTCTGCCTGAGCCAATGTGCTACATCCCACCCATTCGCCAAATACCATCTGTCCGTAGCGGGCGAGTTAAGGCTGTTTTAACCTAAGCTTTAACTGAGCCTCGCTGTGTAACTCCGGAATCAGAACCTCTAACTCTACTCCCTTATGTCTTACTCCGTACATCGGCTGACCTACCTCCTACGCTGATAACGCCAGACATCACTTTTTGGTGCACCTAACTTGCTAGAAAGTCCTTGCTCTTATGTGACTACCTGAAATTCCGCGTGTATGGCAAGGTCGATTCCTGGTACCAGCGATATATGGAATTTATCGCGTCAGAGAGCTCTGTGATGCTTGCCTTCTGGCTCCTTCCACCTAGATATCGCTACAGTCTTCGATCTTGAATGCGGATTTCATCAACCAGGCTCTGACATGGGCAATGTGTGAAAAGAGATATGAATGTAATACAGTAAGTCTTAAGATCTGCCGAAAAGCCCGGGTCAAGCCCTCTCATCCTCGGAGACCGCCTGAAGTTTTGCGTCGAGCCGCAGAAGAAGGCAGCGAAACGGGGCCAGACCTCATCGGCTCGGTCACACTACCTTGTAAATGCACTCCATTTTCACCGAAAATGCCGGCCTTGACATTTTGAGTGAGTACTATACGATGGTGGGCGCTATGTGCCCTGTTCAACCCCGCTTTAACAACTTTCAAGATAGCCCTGCATGGTGCTGCAACTCGGCCGCACCAGGCAAGAGCTGAAAGTTAGCCTGGACTGGACTGGGAAATGAGAAGATGGTGCGTGCATGGTCCGTGGTCAGGCTTGAGCTCAGCGGGCTCTTATTTAGGAGGCTTGCTGCCTTCGAGTCTCCGACGCGAAGAAGATACTCGAGCTTGTATGAAACCCCATGGCAGGAGCTGACGAGTTTTTCAAGCGCCTTTTTATCTTCGAGGGATGGTTTGCGGAACCTTCCGATGAAAACCATAGATTCTACGAACCAAAAGAGGGCGCCCAGGGTCAAAGACACCGAGAACCTCCGCGAAAATCCGGCATACAGCAACTTCTGGCGAGGCATATACGACCAGGGTAGATTCCTCAACTCCTGCGTGGCCAATGCTGCAGCTGCTTTGCACTCATATGAATTGCAGAAGGAGCTGGCGGCTACACAGAGTGAGAATCCTGTTGCTGACGATCCATCTCGGATCTTCATCTGGTACAATGCCCGTGTTTCCCGGGGAATTAAGCCGGACGATCCGACATTCCGAAATTCCGAAATTCTTTCTGCTATATCAGAAGTGCAATGAAGCGCTTGCGGCAGAAGGGTGTCTGTGATGAGTCCAAGTGTCGCTATCCCACTGCAAGCAAGAAAGAAGAAGCTATGGACGTCTCCAGTCAGCAACCAGCCGATGAAGCTTTTGAAACGGCGCAGCCTTATCGTATCTGGCATTACGAACCACTCAATGAGAAACGCTCACCAGCAGAGAAAGACGAATTGGCCAAGAAGGATGCTGACGAAGCGTCCAAAATTAAAGATGAGGAAGGCAATGCACTGAATGACAAACTATGCAAAGCCATCTCCGAGGGGCATCCCGTCCAGTTCGGCATAAACTACTACCACAAGGCGCCAGACCACCAACTCAAACAGATCGAAACCAGGAAGGGCAAGAAATGGCCACTCGTTCAATTGACATGCAGACATGAAAAACCACCTGCTAAATGTGGGAAGCATGCTGCCTTAGCGATCGTTTACGACGAATATTCTGTGATATGCCAGACTTCGTACGGGGCAGATTAAATTTCCAGTGACTCGGGATTGTTTCTTGTGCCGTGGCATTGGATCCCAGACTTCGAGGCAACTGAAGATTTCTGGATTGTCAGGGGGTTTCAGAGTTTGGCAGCTTCTCAACAATAGCCACTTCAGCCGAAGACAAGCACATTGGACGTATGGATTCAATCTCTACCCCTTGCAAGCATCAGACCTCTCGCCGGGACACTCTGTCAAGTTGTTTGTTTGTCTTGCATGCAGATTCAGAATCCCGGTCCAAGGTGGGGTTTCGCTTCAGCCCACCAGGCTCTCAGGTCTGAACAGTCTCCTCGCTACCCCTCTACTATTGAGGGGAAGCTGAAGTTACCGTTTGGCCAGACTGGCCAGAACACAGCGCAACGCCAATTGCTTGTCAGGACCTGGTTGTGGCTGACGCAGTGTTTGTCTCAAAGTTACATATAAGTACGAGGTACATACCTTCGAAGGCTAGTTCTTGGCTTGGCCAGAACCCATCAAAGGTTGGAAATTCTCATCAATGCTTGTTGCTGGCTTGCCTAAATCTATTTGAAAGCTGAAAGCGCTTTTCAGCTGGAACTTGAACTGGATACACAAGGCACGGGCGCGCAGGTCTCCCCATCCATACGAAGACTGGCTGATGTCAGACTTTGCTCTTCAGATACACGCATATCGCCATGTGTTTTCTCTATTGCAGAAGCTTCCTGCTTGAACCCGTGTCAACACGGAATCTTCACAGTCTGGCCAAAAGATGTCTACATGGTACTGCCCAAATGCAGCACCAAGCTACTGGATGGATGAACCGTCTTTTGTAGTGGAATGGGGTGTGCTGAACTTGCGTGGCTTACGGCCTGCGTCCCAGCACGATTTGATATGCCGCGCTGTGTTTCATTAGTGCTCACCTCCATGATGCATCATTCTAGAGTGGTTGTGTCGGCTCAGTCTGGTGGTGGGAAGAGGAAAGTATATATACCCTAAACCGACCTCCTATCTGCGACAAGTTCTGCCATAACAGAACTTACTGCAATCTCCACAAAATGGCCGACACCATAACACCAGATGCGCAACAGCCCACGGGCATCGATGAAGCTGATGAGAACTTCCCCGAAATTCCGAGCAACCCCGAAGGCGACAGTGAACAGGCAGGCTTTGGCTTAGCAGCTCCAATGGAAATGCTCACACCAGCCGCTGGACTGCACAGTCCCATTTCCAGTCGGAAGGGCCTCCATAGGCTCGGGCACTGATTCGATCTATATCAGGTCCCCTGTCATATTCCAGGACAGGCATATTTGGAGGCGCAAGAAGGACTGGGCACACGGCTTCATGATGAAGAAGGATAACAACACGCAGTTGAAGTATGTAGTTGAGTTTTTCACCTCGCCAGTAGTGTACTAGGTGAACAGACAAGGACAAAGCACGAGCACTACATGCCCGGTGAAGAACCGGTACAATAGGTAGTGATAACCCACAATAACAGCAAGTTGAAAATCGCGAGATTAGGTGTTACACACAGAGGATGAAACATACATGAGGGCAATCTTGAATCAACCGAGTTTTTCGGAGATACCTAGTTGGGTAATTTCACTACCCAAAGTAGACAATCACCTGCTCAAACTCCTTGTCCTTGACAATGAGACTCGTACGCAGAAAGATCTAGGCGTCGATCAGTTCGCCAAAGGAAGCGGCGGCGGTGTCTGCGAGGGTGATACGAAACCCCGTCTTCGCTGTTCGTCGAGACTCGAAATTCAGGCCCACGTCGGTGCAAGTTCCGTGCACGCTTCAAACCCAATTTTGACCATCCTCAGAGATGAGATACTCTTCTGCAAGTCTTTCGATTTTGCTCTAGCTTGTCTGATGTCGCGAGATCGATCTTACCAAGTGCATCGGGCTCTTGAAGCCGAGCATACGCATCATGTAGACTCTCATAGCGCCGAAGAAACTCATCGTGCTTAGCTTCAGTGTTCATCGTCCTCGCCGCAAGGCTTTTCATGACTTCGAACACATGACCCGTAGACTCGTGGCCTCGCCATTTCCCTGTCCCGACACTGACCGTGGCACTCATCGACGCATCCGCTTCATAGAGAAGATATGCTTCCTCGGCAGCTTCCAAAATGGGGGTTATCGCTTTGTATTCCTCCATAATAGTATCGCTGACCTTAGTTCTCCATGGGTGGAGAGTACAGAGAAACGGCGGACTTTGCTCGACAAGCTTCCCAAATCTTGTATAGATGCTCATCTGCTCTAGTGTTAGAGCTGTAGGTCCGTAATCGCACACACTCATGTGATGCATTGTCAATAGCGTAGATCAAGCACTTAGGAACCGACTCATTTGGGCCCAATAGCGGCGGGTCGGCAAATTCGATACCTACATCCTTGAGATATGTGCGCTCTGGGGGACTGATTCTGTCACGAACGACTTGATGGACAGCGGCTTGTAGAGCTTTGCCTGAAAACCATGGTTTGTCTCTGATAGCATCGGCCCACTGCTTTCCAGGAAGACTTCAACCACTCCATCGGAGGATGTCCTTTTACAAGCTGCGATAGGCCTGTTTACAGGAGTTAAAGTTCATCGGTAGCCTCCCTAATATGACCGCAAGAAGACCACCGGTGCTAATTCCTACAATGAGATCAACGACCCCGTAAGGTTTTGGCGTTGAGCCAATGCCGCCTTCGAGATGGTGAACTTCTTCCATAATCTTCTCTAGAACGATAACAGAGCATTCCCCTCACATCCCTGCCCACTAGTGACAAAACGCGTAGGTCTCTTTGCTCATTTTGAGTCCTTTGAATTCGAATTATTGGATCAAGTTGAGTCGTAGGGAGTCGAATTTTGCCATATGGTATGCATTCACATCAACCGGAACCTTCCCGGAAGCGCTGGAAGCAATGGGAGGAATTGACATGCCCGCAAGAGGCTTTCGTGATCATGATCCGCTGAAAATTTGGCTTCCAATTCGGGGGTGAACGCACCTCGCCAAACGCTGGCACGTTGACTGTATCATAGAAACAGACGTTCGGAAGTCTTTTCCCCCAACAAAATCCTAAAGTCATAATTGATTGACAAGCTCTGTTTGCTAATCGATTCGGTTTCCTCGACTCAGGAAGATAATGCAAGAGAAAACACTTCCGTTGCGAAAAATCTCAATGTTTTCAGGTTGTCAGCTATCACCAGCTCTGCTCGAGGGATAGAGAAAAACGCAAGGCCGCAAATGCAAGCGTGAAATTGACGAACCTCAGTTCGTTGGTTTCGCTGTGGCGAGCTGGAAACGTACAGCTCTTTGATGAATGTCCCACCTGCCTGCAAACCAAGAAAAGGTAATGGGCACTTGAGACCTGTTGCAATTGCGTCTGTTCTTCATCAGATCCAGGCGCATACCGTCCACGATCGGTCGGATAAGTCCCGGGACAGGTTCGCGCATTCGTAAGAGACAATTCAGCAAGAGGGTAAGAAATCAGGCAGCACATCCCTGAGCCAGAAAAGCCCTGGAAAAGACCACGGAAGTCGAGTTGTCTCCTGTCCAGCTTTGCTCCCAATGTCCCATCAACCTGGGAACGGCAATAATACTGCACGTTCATTAATGAGCGACGTTGTGTGACTGCAATAGCAACTCACTCAATGCTCGTCTCGTCCGTCGAGGTGGGCACGGCGAGCTCGTGGGCTCTTCCACCGCCTGCAAGACCTCGATTGGAGCTCGAAGAATTGAAGAAACCGTCGGCAGGCACTGGGCATGAGCCAGCATTTGAGGTGTCCATATAGCTGTGATAGCTCTTTTGATGGCGATGCCTAGGCTAGTGGCCAACTTTGTTTGTTTTATTTGTTCTCTCTGCGCTAAGCCTGTTCCAGAGGCTCTTGATGCTGTTTGGTGTTGGCTTGCCGGACCAGTTGCACCACGCATAGAAGAGAAGGAAATTGCGACACAGAGTGGGTATGGTCAGGCTGGTGAGGCTGAGCTGTGTGATAGCTGCTTGTTGCCTGGTCATATGATGCCCTTTGCCGCTTAGTGTCATCCGGGGATGCCAAGAGATCTACGCGGGCTCGGCGGTATGTAATGACGCTCTACAAGTATCTACGCAGTTAGGGCCTCTATCATCGAGGTATGTACCCAGTAAATCGGCTACTGTGGCTAGGCATCTTCTTCAGCAGCAACAGAAGTACGCCAAGAGGTACTCGGCACATAAGCAGAGGAGTTCTCAGGCACTATTAGTACGCGGCTTGTTTAGCACTACTTGGTATGTAGGAAGCCTAGGAAGAAGCTACGAGGATGGTCATTGGCCAAGATGCTTTTTAAGGTTGTGCCGAATTTTGTGGACCTCTCTGTCTCCCCTCCGCCACCAATTGCACACAGTTATGTTGCTTAGGGCATGCTTAGGGCATGCTCAGGGAGCGTTCAGTGATGTTCAGGCAAAGGCTCAGGCTAAACCGGCCTTCGTTCACCCTCTGGGATGAAGCCGGATATGGCAATTAGGGTTTTCGTCCTCGAGTACTCTTGGTAGATCTATACTCCCTGCTTGCATTTGAAATGCATAACCCATGAAATACTTGCTAGGTTGAGATTAGGTTCGCCTTCCTTTGTATAGCCTTCTCACCACCCGACCTGTCTATAATATGTGTCTCGCGGCCAGTGACCCCGGTATATATGCAAGAATCACCTGACTCATGCCTCGCTTGAACGCTAAAGGTAGATGAGACCTGCCATCTATACGCAAAAAAAAAAGAGAAAAAGAAAGTAGTAGAAACCCTTGCGTATCGTCACAGATGTTTTACAGAGCCACGGTAGAGGTCGACTTTGCGTTACTTCCCCTTGTGTGCCTTCATTTGCTGCTTGGTCATCAGACCTTTCTCTTTCTTTGCGTCGGCCTTCATCTTGGCCTCAACGTCGTCGACATCCTCGTGAATCGTCATGCCAGGTACATTCGATGCCGCGTCTGCATTTGCCTTGGCGTTCCTGGCATGGATACCACTTTGTTGCTGTTGGTTGTCGTTTTCGGCATTGTTGAGTTTATGCATTCCCAACCCATCCATACCAGGCCAAAGGACCCGGCCAGATTGCGCACTGCCCCCAAGATTGACCCCTCCCGCCTTTAGTCTGCCAATCTTATGCGCCTGGCTCTCCACTGCTTCGTTGCGCCAATTTCCTCGACTTCCTGTCTTGCCGCCACGGAAGCCCATGCTGTGATCAAGTCCTTCACCCCACATACGCACTTTTTGCACTTTGCGCAATTTGCGCATGCCGTAGACGCAGATCAACCACGACAGGCCGAAGCACACAACACTGACTCCGCCAAAAGCCAAGTCCGACTCTTCGATAAAGTTCTTCAGGTTCATCCCATAGAGCCCAGCGATAAGGGTGCCGCCAGCGAGACCGAGAGTGCCAATGCTAAATTTGATTTCGAGCAACATGAGCTGGTTGCGATTGGCATCCAGAATGGCTCGAACCACTTCTTCCGTGTTCCTAATATTGCTGATTAAATTGCCAGATATCTCGACAATTTCATCACAGATCTTGTGATAGGATTCGAGGAGCATTTCAACTTCTTGATGATCGTTTTCAGCGCGGGGCTTGCCGGTCGTCTTTCTTTCCGTCAGGTACATAGCGGACAGATCATCGTCGGCTTCAAGCAGGTCCTCGATGGCATCTCGAACAAGTCGGGCCTTTTGCTCAAATGTTCCGAGCTTTTTGGAATGTATGAGCAAGTGCCGTAGTTTATCTCTGTCGATATCTTCTTCCAGCTCTCTTAAAATATGTGTGACCGGTTCTCGAACCAATGCGAATTCCGCTTCCAGACCTGAAGTGACGGAAATGAGAACTGCTTCAAGAGCTCTCAGCTCGTATGGAAGATTGAGGGAGCCATTTCTAGGGTCCACTTTCTGTCGCAATTTGCCCTCCAAGTCGTACATGAACAGGGACTGAGTGTAAGAGTCCGTGCTTCCAAAGGCATCAAAAACCAAAACTCTATCAGACTGAATAAGGACTCGGAGATGGAGGAGATTTATTAGGATGGCGGAAGGACGGACGAGGATGTGGGGAAGGACCGAGGAGTCGATCTTTCGGAGGTCTCGAGGCAGCAAGCCGTATTTGGCGATGAGTTCTGATTTCTTGAATTCGCCCGACACCATTGTGACAGAGCCATTGGCATCGAACTCGGTGCAACGGAGCTTTAATTCTGCGCCGCTAGTATTACGAGAAAGGGCGCGGGAGAGATTGAAGAGTTGCGCGGAAGTCTCGTCGTAGCCATAGGGCGAGGATGTAGTTGGAGCATCTCGTGGTAGTTTTGAACGGGATGCAGCGGCTCTTTGACGCAGCCATCGTCGCCAAAAACTTTGCTTATGACTCTCTGTGCTTGCGCCCCGAGACTGTCGAGGGTTGGGGTGGCTGTATCTCGGAAGAGGAAGAGCTTTGCATGGCTCTCGCGCCGTACGCCATACGTCCTCCACTGAAGAAAGCCGCCTTCGGGTGGAAATTGTAGATATAGGTCGACACGGTCTTTGAGCATATGCTGTGAAGTGACGGGAGTTTGTGAAGAGCAAGTTCGATTGAGATCGGAGGTAGCGCAGAAGACTTCGAGAAGGCGCAACAGGCGTCTTCATCGCCCTGCGCGGAGATACGCAGCTAATATTACTGAGTGCGAGGAGCAGAGAGTGAATGAGAGGCCAAAACTAAGAGTTGAACTGTCTGCATTTGGAGGCTTCACAATGCGGAAAAATGTCGCATCTCCGAATCCTTGGCGTCCGAAGACAAACGGGTGAGCGGCAGTTGAACACTGGCGCACTAGTGGCAGGGTGACGATCACAGAAGGTGCGGCGAAGACAGCCTTGGCGCCTCGGCGCTTGGCACAGACTTGGACGAAGTATAGATCACGTGATGATTTCACCTTGGCTCTTTTCCGGGGGGGGGGGCCAAGGGGCTTGGGGCTGGGACTGGGGAGGCTTTGTTTTAAGCAAGGCTCTCCCTCTCCAGCTTGCGTTCAGCTTTCACTGCATTTCTGTCAGGAAAATGGCACCCCGCCTGCACATTCCGGGTGCTAAGCCTTTCGTACCTTGTCATTGTTTCATGACGACCTGGCGGGATACTCAATTCTTCTGATACCAGATGAACTTCATGCACAACCCAGAACCGGCCTATGCGTACCTCAACTACGAGTGGTTGCGTGAACGACTCAGCCATCTTCCAGGGGTCGTTCAACACGAACCATACCGCTGTGACGCCGCAATGCCGAAGTCCAGTCACGGTTATACGAGCCTTTCCTTTTTAAGTTAACTCTGTACTGCTCGCACAGCCCTCGACAGCATTTTACGGGAGCCCGCATCTCCGATCATCTGACGAGGGAGAACGATGCTTCTTTTAAGGCGAACTTGTTCGTGATAAGAATGGACATGTGAGTTGGTCTCGATCCTCTTTGGGCTCCCGCATTTTCAGGACGCTCGCCCAGTCTGGCTGATAATTTGATGTCAAGCACGGCTCCAGGTGCCCATCCTGATCCTTTCGTTTCCTCTGTCGTGGTTCAGAAGTGATCGCCAATTACTATTGCTAATTTGCCATTCATTCAAGAGAACACCAGCTTGGCATATTAGAATCAAAGGAAGGCCAGCCTTTGCTCTGCCCTTTTTAGGTATTTTTCTGTCCTCCAAAGTGATAAAGACCATTCACTCCCTTATTAGTGCGAGCTGCCAAATTCCATCCGTAGGGTTTTCCTTGCTCGACATTCGTGCCATATCATGAAGAAACATATTACTAGGCAAACAAAATCCACGGAATCACCCAGCCCAGCGCCCACGGCGCATTCGGCGGATTGTACCGTACCTTTTGCGCACCACCTACAAAGGTCTGCAACGTAGGGGGAGCCGTACTTGTGCAACCTCCAATGGCACTGCAAATGATGGTTTGGATGCCACCGCTGGGAGTTAGTGTAAGAACAGTTGTACTTGTTCCAATCACCAACTCTGAACTGCTGGTGCCTAGGCTGATCGGGGTGCCGTTGATGGTGACTGGGGGGCCGCCAGCGGTAACAGTGGTGCCATCCACGACAACTGCTGTAGCTACGTCAGTAGTGGTTGTTTGGAATGTTGATACGGAAGGTGAAGAGGGGGACGAGGCCGAGACCCTTGGGCTAGCTGTGGTAGGCGATGAGGCCGCTGTGGAGGGAGATGGGGCAGCTGTTGATGGAGAAGCCGGACTGGAAGCCGGTGTTGTCGAAGCGGCTGGCGTAGCACTTGGTGTTGGTGCTTGTGTTCCAGCTCCAGCTCCAGTTCCAGTTCCAGTTCCAGTTCCAGTTCCAGTTCCAGTTCCAGTTCCAGTTCCAGTTCCAGTTCCAGTTCCAGTTCCAGTTCCAGTTCCAG